CCCCTGAGGCTGCCGTTGACATATATACACACACACACACACACCCCCTCGGTTTCCCCTGAGGCTGCTGTTGACACATATACACACACACACACCACCCACCCACCCCTTCCTGGACGTGGATTTGGAAGAGAGTGAGAGACTTGCCACATTTTCAAGCTGCAGCGAGGAACTTGTTTTTCAAAAATAATAAAGGCCCAACACTCCTTGGATAGAGGTTGAAATAGATTTGAAACTATCGAAGTTTTTTTCAGTTTGGGAGCAATGCAGAGGTTTTACCACCATCTTGACCCCCACGCTCAAAAAAACAAGCCACTCTCAGCTGGTGCTTTAATACTCAAGGAGCAGGAGAAAGAATGTGAGCTCTGCAGTTAGTAAGTCCTGGGTTTGAATCCTGATTACTCAACTCACTAGTTGTGAGTCCTTAGACAAGTTACCTCACCTCTCTGAGAAATGTGCTACACCTACCTCATGGTTGTAGATGGTCTTATGTAAGTTCCTCTTCATTTACTCAACAAGTATTTATTTGCTGAATGTCCTCCCCACTAGAATAGAAAAAAGGAAGGATGCTGTCTTTGCCTGAAGTAGCTTACAGTCCATTTGGAAGCTGACGTGTGAACAAATTCGTGGCTGTACAGTGTGATGAATATTGTAAAAGGAATACGTACAAGAGGAGAGGAAGTGGAGGAGGGAACAACCTCTGCCTGGGGTTGAGGGTGTAGGGGAGGCTTCACAGAGGACCTAGCAGTGGAGACTTGAGGGAGAAATAAGAGGCACTCTTTTTTGGTTGTTGTTTTTTTGTTGGTTGGTTGTTTTTTTTGTTGGTTGGTTGTTTTTTTGTTGTTGCTGTTAAGAGGCATTCTTTTAAACATACAAAGGAAGAGTTGGGCATTCTAGGCAGAGTAGAGCCTGGGCAAAGACATGGAGGTGTGAGGAATGACACTGAAGAACCTTGAAGTAGTGAGAATGGTTGAAGCATAGGCTCTAGGGTGGCGGCGTAATAGATGAATCTGGACTACAGATGTGCGAGAGCCAGATTTGGAAAGGCCTTGAATGTCATGATAATACCCTCATTTTCTTGTTTAGTAATTATTTTTTTTAATACCATTTGTTTTATTTGGCAATTGTGACTTTTTAAAATAATTTATTTATATCTTATTTATTTTGGGCTGCTTTGGGTCTTCATTGCTGCGCAGGCTTTCTCTAGTTGTGGCGAGCGGGGGCTACTCTTTGTTGCCGTGTACATGCTTCTCATTGCGGTGGCTTCTCTAGTTGTGGAGCACGGGCTCTAGGTGCACAGGCTACAGTAGTTGTGGCGCGTGGGCTCAGTAGTTGTGGCTCGCAGGCTCTAGAGCGCAGGCTCAGTAGTTGTGGTGCATGGGCTTAGTTGCTCCACGGCATGTGGGATCTTCCCGGACCAGGTATCGAACCTGTGTCCCCTGCATCAGCAGGTGAATTCTTAACCACTTCGCCAACAGGGAAGTCCCTGCATGCATTCTTTTTTTTTTTTTTTTTAATTTATTTATTTACTTATTTATTTATTTTTGGCTATATTGGGTCTTTTTTTTAAAATTTATTTAACTTATTTTTATTTTTGGCTGTGTTGGGTCTTCGTTGCTGCGCGCCGGCTTTCTCTAGTTGCAGTGAGCGGGGGCTACTCTTCATTGCAGAGTGCGGGCTTCCCATTGAGGTGGCTTCTCTTGTTGCAGAGCATTGGCTCTAGGCGCGCGGGCTTCTGTAGTTGTGTCTCATGGCCTCTAGAGCACAGACAGGCTCAGTAGTTGTGGCTCACGGGCTTAGTTGATCCACGGCATGTGGGATCTTCCCGGACCAGGGCTTGAACCTGTGTCCCCTTCATTGGCAGATGGATTCTTAACCACTGCGTCACCAGGGAAGCCCCCCGCATGCATTCTTAACCACAACATTATAGTTGCAGTCGGCTAGAGAGAAATTGAGGTGTTAGACTAGAGCAGTCAGATTAGAGAGGAAAGGGAGAGCAGACAGGAAGAGCCTGAGACTGTGGGGATGCGGGGAAGGGAGAGATTGGAAAGCTCCTGGCATGTGTAAAGTACTGATTAAGTTTTAATTTTAAAGCACACAAAATATCAACCCATGTCTAACTTGATTTTCCCCAATTTTACTTTTGAAAAGTCAACATATTTCTAAGCTGTGACTAAACCAACCCAGACCATTTTCTTACACAGTCCACTAGACAGGGTGGTATTAGCACATTGTGTCAGAAAGCCCCAAACTGGGAGTTGGAAGACTGGAGTTATAGCACTAACTCTGCTACTGATTTTGGTGTGACTTTGGGCAGATCCTTTTCCCTTTGGAGTTACACATACACACAACTGGTCCGTGTCATATGTTGGGAGGCTGGCCTCTGCTTCTACCAGGTCTCCTGACTGCAGTGGAGGAGCTGACTCAAGGTCAGAGAGGACAGTGTACGTACGTACTCTCAGCTTCCTTCCAGAGCTGGCCGTTTGTGATGCTGAGAGATGCCTGCGGGATAGAAGCCTGCAAAGGAGCCAGGCTCTCAGGTTTAAATTCCTCTCAGCTTTTTCAAGAAGACCAAGAAGTTGCTTCAGAAAGAGCTATTTTTAGCAGCTCTAAATACCCAAAGATGTCCTCTATCCAGGATGCAGGGAAATATTTCACTCCTTCGTTGGTTCTGAAAGCAATGTGGGTACTTGAAGCTTTCTTCCAAGCTCTTAGTGACTTCAGGGATCTTACTTAAGAACTGTTTGGCCCTGCAGAAGGCAGAGCCAATAGAGACTTGTTTTCAAAATCTGGAGACCAAAAGATGGGTCATATTAATGGTAATCTGACTTGAAAATGAAGGGAAAGGATAAACAGGATAACTAATATAGGTAAAAATGAAATACCTCCTCACAAAAAAATCTGTTTATCAGTCATTGTCATCTGTTGTCTCACTTGATTCCATAGCAGCATGTAAAGTACAATTACTGCCATTTTGCATATGATGAACCTGGGGGAGGGGAGGGAAAAGGAATTTGAGTTTTCTGAACACCTGCCGTGTTCCAGACACTATGCAAGTCTTGTCACAAATCTTAATTTTTTTTCCGTAATCTTGTGAGTTAGAGCTTCTTGCCTTCAGTTTTGCTCAGAGAGGTTAAATAACGTGTCCAAAGTTGCACAGCTAAAAAGCAGTGGAGCTCAGATTCAAAGCCAAGCTGTCTGCCCACAGTCTGTGCCCCTTGTACAGCACCATGCTCTCCCAGAGGTCTCAGGGAGTTAAGTGCCTCTGCATTGGTCCCGGCCCTCTAGGACTTTAAACAGAGCTCTTCAGAGGCCAAAGATGATTGGTTTTGTCCCTGAACCTTTACCTCCTCTAGCACATAAAGCCTCTGTCATGTGTGAAGTCCCTTTGCAATGCTTCGGAGACTTGAAATTTATTCTTAGCATGGACAAGCAAAGAGCAGGAACTTGGACTTACATACTTCCAGGCAGCTTCTGGGTCAGCTGCCTGGAGGATGTCATGGCATCCAAGGACATACCCTTCCTCAATGAATGGGCTTTCCTGGATGGCAAGTCTGTCACCCTCTCCAGGGTAGAGGTACTTTGCACCCTCTGCGTTCACTGTTTCTTGCGTAGCCTGGGTGAAACTGCTTTTTTAAGACAAAGTTTGTTTTTGTAACTGCAATATGTACTACTTTGCACAGATTCTTAGTGGTAATTTCAACTAACATTTCTATCCAACAGAGTTTCAGTTCCTGCATTCAGCTTATGGTAGGAGAGCTATTTTTCCTCATCTGTATTATGGCCTATGAATGTGTTATCTCGTAACAAAAGTAGATCCCCTCTCCTTCCCTCCCCAAATCCCATCCCCTAGGCTTGGGCTCCCCCAGGTGGCTCAGCAGCAGTTCCTGAAGCATGCAGGAACATGTCTGATGGTGCAAAATCATGGGTTGGAGACACACACGAACCGTCCCCTAGGGCAGCAGTGAAGGATCATGGCACTAAAAGGCGTCTCTCCCCTTCCTCACCTCTGGGGTCCCATCTGACCGAGGTCAGAAACCTTTACCCTCACATGGCTGCTGAATTCAAACAAACAAGTGAACAAAAATTCCTGGGTCTCTATGGCTCCTCTGTTGGCTTTATGGCAGCCCCTGCGGAGGAGTACCTGGATTATGCCTGTAAGAATGCAAAACACCAGTCTGCCCCACGATCAGATTTTCCATCTCCATTGGCAGTCTCACATGTTTGAAGACCTGGTTAACTTTAGATACAATCTATTCCCTTAGCCCAGATCTTGAGCTCTGGCTCATTTGGGGGGCATTTTCCTGGATGGTGAGAGGTGAGGGTCAAGTGTGCTAATAAGCCAGGGACCAGAGCTGGATTCTCTGGGCAGTGTGGACTCCAGGCCCAAGGCACCACGGGAACTTCTGGGCACCTGTGAGGGTCCCAGCAGTGTAACTTGACTAGGTCCTTTTTTGTCATAGACAGGAAGGGACCATAGGAGGGACTTGCTGCTTTCACCACCCTCACCTGGGCTGCTCAGGACAATGTTTTCGTAAAGTCTCTGCACACTTTCTCGACTTTTAACCTTGAATTATTTGGATGTTGAAAATTGAATTTGTGTGTGGCACATCTTTTAGGAGATGAGCTGTGAAAATCTCTTCTTGCTGCTGCTGTGGGCTGCGTGATCTTGGGCAATTTGCTAATGTCTCCAGGCCATAGATAAAGTGTTTTATTCCAGATGATCTCTGAGGTCCCTTTAAATGCTAACAGGTTGCCCTCTTACCGTCTTATTCTTTCAATTTTGCTAGTCACAGACCCATTTCTCTTATTGTTTATGAGGAGTCGTGTTTGTTTGCCTCAGGATATATGAACTTGAACAGAAGACTCCATATGAAGTGAGAGAAGCTCTCCTGCCTCCTCACCTCCCCTGTTATAGCATCTGAAATAGAAATACTAAAGTGTATGTATGGAGCTCTTCTCTTCACAAAATGTTCTGTCCCAGACCCTAAGCTGGCCCTTTGAAGATACAAAGTTCAGTAAGACAGGGTTCCTGTTTTCAAGGAGCTCAAAGTTTAGCGGGGGAGATGGACAAACTAGCAAGTACAAGGGCTTCTAAGAATCACAGGAACTGGGATAGTGAACCAAGTGGGATACATGAGGGGGCTGTGATCAAGAAGTGGGGAAAAGAAAGGACTTCATAATAGAGGTGAGTCTTCAGCTCCTGGTTGATGGATTAATAAATGTCTACCAGGTGGTATTTGGGGAAGGACATGCCAGGAAGAGTGAGCAGTGTGAGCAAAAATACAGAGAAGTGATGCTTCTTGGCATAGTCTGGGAATGGTGAACAGTTTGTGTGGCTGTCATGTAGGGTTTGAGAGAGAGAACAGTGAGTCTGGAGAGATCATAGGGCTAGATCACGAGGGGCCTTGAGTGCCACACGAGGAGTTAGGTAATGGAGAACCATGGAATGTTTTTAAGAAAGAAGTTTTTGTGATTAGGTTTAGGTCTTGGAAATATCACTCTGACTGCAGCTTGGAGATTGGAGTTGGCAGGTTTAAAAACAAACAGAACAGTGAGGAAGCAATTGCAATAATTTAGGTAAGAGGTGATGAGAGCTTCCATTGGAGCTGTCCACACCTGTGGGGATGGAAGAGTAGACAGACACCAGAATTAGAAACTGTAAGACTGGCTGACACTTGATCTTTGATCCTCACAATCAGTACTATGAAGCAATCAAGGAGTGGTTATTATTGCCATTTTATGAGACAACAGACCTGAAGTTTAGAAAGGTAAAGTGACTTGCCCAAGGTCCCACAGCTAATAAGTGGCACAGCCCAGGCTAGAACTCAGATTTCCTGACTTACTACATTGTTCAGGATGATGGTCCCTTGCTGCCTCTCCTCCTTGTAAGTGTGCTTAACAGATTGTTCAAGTGTCAGAGGGCGTGAGGGCCCCGTGTCCAGGGATGTGAACAACCCAGCACTTGGACGTGGGCCGCATGCTGTGACTGGGCCGTGGCCCTTCACTGCCATGGGTTCTCTCTCTCTCTTTTTTTAAATTGAGGAATAGTACATATATAGTACTACATAAAGTGCAAAAGTACGTAGTCTCAAACGTACACCTCAATAATATTTGACGTATATACACTTGTATTTATTCAAAATATAGACCATTTCTAGGAGTTGGTACCTTTCATGGCACCCAAGAACAGGCATACCTGTCAGAGCAGCGTCCTCTATTACCATGCCTCTAAAAGCTTCAGTTGGCTTGTCTTCATCCCACAGCTGAGCTCTGAATCACTACCAGCAGCAGAATGGGTTTCTTTAGAATTGTATGTGGACGTATAGCTAACTAATGAGGAAGTCAAGTCGACAGCTGTTATTTGTTGTTTTTTGTTTTCAGCCTTCGTATTTATCCAGTTATTTAAATTATTATGTATTCATATATACAGAAAAATATAGAAAATATTAGTATTTGTTTTCTTTATAATGAAACCAGAAGAAAATACCCACTTCTTCAGGAACATGTATAGGTTAGCTCACTTGCTCAGTTGGGAAACACATAATCAAAGGCACAGTCGCACTTGCTTCTTTCCTGGTTAATCTGGAACATTGTTTTACTGTGTGTAATGCTGTCTTGTTCACTCTCTGGTTGGCGTGTGGCTGTGTTGCATCCCCAGCTAGACCATAAATACCTGGTGTGCGGTGACCATGACCCACGTGTGTTCCTGTCCACCGTGGCGCTCCCCTCAGTGCTGAGTGCAGTGTAGGCCTCAGTCACTCTTTGGTTAATTTTGATTTACTTACTTTAATTGTCACACAGTCCTTTAGGCTAATGTCAGGCTTTTGGCTCATGATTAAAATTATGGTAAAGATGCACCACTTGGGTTAAAAACTGGACCAGAACAGGTCCTCCAAATTCTCAGCAGCCAAATTTAGGCCTCCTGCTCCCTGGTGGATTCCTGTGGGGTCTTGAGGGCCTGGGCTTGCTCTATCTGACTTCTCAGAGCTACATGTTTCAGTTTTTAGGGAGTTGTTTTAGGTGGCCAGGGCTTTCCAGCCACGTGGAGTGGCAGATTCTAAATCTGGAGCTATCTTAATAAGATTTTTCAACACTAATTGGGTCCTTTATTAATTCCCACCACTCCACCCATCCCTGCCCCCCAGGAAAAGAAACCCATGATAATTGTTTAAATTGACTGCCCTCCTCCTGTGTTGTCTGCAGAGTCATGTTGTAATGTCCAGCAAAGGCCCTGGACTCTGCATTGGAATTCTGCTGGATCTCCATTTTCTTCTACCAGAATTCTCCTTTTAGTGTCACTTCCCTGCCCCTGATTTCCTTCTCATTTCTCAGCATCCGCTGTATATATTGCGGGCCATTGATGCAAGCGCAGAGGCAGCCCAGAACAGCTATACTTCTATCCTTGGTTCAGCAAAAACAGTAGAGTCTTTGACCTCCTCCTCTGACCCCAGTACTTCCATGACTGAAGGAACCAGAGGCATTTCCTGTTACCTGGACAGGCAGAGGAGTTTATGGAGATCTCTCTGGAGGTGGATTATCCTTGTCCTGATGGAATGAGAGGGTATAGGCAAACTTGCTTCTCATACCACCCTGTCTTACCTAGCCCCTTGTTAAAATGTTTCACGTATATCCAACTGTTGCCAATACTAATATACTTTAAAACACCCCATATCCATGTCTCCCAAGACCTCATCTGAGTGGAAAAGATACTGTTAAAATCATTCTTCAGCCACAAGTAGAAATTTGGGTCAAGAATATTTCTCCTCGGGAATTCCCTGGCGGTCCTGTGGTTAGGACTCCCCGCTTTCACTGCCAAGGGCCCGTGTTCAATCCCTGGTCGGGGAACTTGGATCCCAAAAGCCGTGCGGTGTGGCCAAAAAAAAAAAAAAAAAAATTTTTTTTCCCCTCTATTGTTTGAAAATATCAAGGGAGATACCTAAAATGTTAGGCAATCCCTCCCCCCATCCCCTTTGAAACCCTATTTCCTCTCTCCTTCCCTACAGGACACATGAAGGTAAGTTTTTTGAGTCACTCCCCACTTCTATTCCATAGGAAACATCATCCTTCAAATTTCTCAAGCTGAGCTTTGAGTCAGCCTGGGAAGTCTCTGCAGATTTCTTTCAAACTGAGCCTCATCTCTATTTCACACCTACCCCAAGTTTGACATTTGCTTTCTTAGTGGCCCAAAAGATCATCTCTAATTCATGAGGCGATATCTCAGGTGGAGCACCAGTAGCGCCTCAGCAGGAGACATAAAAGGTGCAAGAGGTTTGTCTGGCCCTGGCTAGGTCTACAGGAGAAGAGGTTTGCAGGTAGTGTCCCGCTGGACAGCCTTGCCTTGTAAGCCACCAAAGCTCAGTCCCTTTAGAGGAGATGGCAGTCCAGCAAGGTTCATGTCATGTGGTTATTAGTATTTTGGGGTCGCTCTTTGAAAACAATTTGTTAAATACACCTCCAGATGAGATTTCAGGCATAAAAAGGGGTACTCAGTTGATCTGGCCCAGTACATAGTCAAAGGCTCCGAGTTGCTACACGTTAACGAGCAGGTGGCTAAGGAGTATCCCAGAGTCTTAGGCTAGAATGTCAGGCAGTAGAAGGCAGTATTCATAAGCATTTTCATGGGTTTGGTAGTGGGTAGAAAATCCTGACTCCCCTACTTAGTATAAGCTTAGGTCTTCTCAGTTTCAAATCGTTTAGAAGGTCACTTCAGCACTCCTCCCAACCACTCACCCATCTCAGAAAGCTGAACCATCCTGTGTGTCTGAACAGGGCCCCTTGGGTTATATGTTTCCGTCCAGCTCAAGATCCTTGGTTTTGTGTCTGTGATTGGTGGTGCCCACTTCTTATTTCTGCCTAATGCCATTCTTGTGTCTTCCCTTAAGCAACTCTGCTGATGAAACAGGCCTGGCCACAGAACTCGTCTTCCTGTGGCACTGAAGGCACCTTCCACCTCCCAGTGGACACCGGGACCGAGAACCGAACTTACCAAGCATCCTCTGCGGCTTTCAGTAAATACAGCCTGTCTCCTCCTTTCCTTGTTCCCCTTGGCTGGGACTGATTTGCCTCTTAGGAAGAAAGGAAAGGGAACTTTTAAAACTGACATTTATAGGACACTGTTTTAAGAGGTTCTCTCTCCTACCCACCAAAAAATTCGCCCTCCTCATATAGAAACGGTCATCCTCTTTGATCACACACCCTGCTTTGAGGAGACACAAAGCAGTGAGGGAGAGAGAAGGAAGTACTCACCTGGCCAATGAGTTTGATGAGGGAAGGACTGTTACTGCATTTCAAGGGAAGGACAGAGGGCACTTTAAAGTCTTGTGGACTTTTGGACAGAGGGGGTTCCTCCAACTAGCACAGGGTTTTTCAACCTCAGCACTGTGGACATGGGGAGCAGATAATTCTTGGTTGGGGGGGGGCTGTCCTGTGCATATCCCCGGGGGCAAAATTGCCCCCTGCTTGAGAAACACTGCCCTCGTGGAGGCTACACTGTGAGAGCAAGGTATGTGCAGGAAGTCCTCGTGAAGGTTGGAAACCATCTGGCCTGTCAGATTGGTCACTTCACTTGAGGCTCAGTAGAGTGACTGATGGTTTCACCTTCACATCTGATTTTTAACACAAAATGGCTCCACTGGGTAAAATGAGGACGAGTGTTTAGAAATGACTGAGTGGCATTTTGACTCTGTATGAGGAAAAGCTTCGTGCCTTGTTGCAGTTGTCCAGAAGAGGAGTGGCTGGCTTTGGATGTGGTGAGTGCCAGTCTCTTAAGTTGTGCCAGCAAGGGCTGCACAGGCCCTCGGAGGGATGTTGCAGACTAGGCCCGATGGTTTGGGGTTCAGTGAAGTGTTAATCTATTAAGTAAGTAAATTAGAAGAATACATTGTATTTTAAATTTTTCTTTAAAATGTTATTTTCTCCTTAGCTATCATTGCCCCTTCAGGTCAACATCAACTTACGTTTATACAACATAACTCTCACCTTTTGCAGAATATGTTTTCATGATCACCCTCTCATTTAATCTACACTATAGTCCTATTTGGGTGGATTTTTATTCCAGTTTGAAAGCTGAGGCTCAGAAAGGTAATATGCCCAATGCCATCCAACTGGTAAGCAGCACGACTAGAAAAGTGTATCACCCAAGTTAAGTTTCTATTACTGACTTTTTTCCTTGAGATTAAGTTTACTCTTATTTAAGAGAGGGATGATAGCAGTAGGGAATTTTTCCAGGTACCTATGATATTATATATGTAAATGGGCATATACATGCATATTCGGTCTTATATCTGCACGTATGGAGGTAGATGCATATAGACACACCTGCTGTAGTGTAGCAGAAAGAAGCCTGGAGTGGAAGACCAAAAGAGTTGGATTCTAGACTTGGTTCTGTGTAACCTTGGATAATTCATGTCTGTGCTTTGGACCTTGCTTTTTCCAAATGTAACATGAGTGGGTTGGACTAGGTCATCTTTAAGGTTTTCTCTAGCTATTAGGCTCCTGATTCTATCACCTTGGTGCTGTATACCCAATATCTTCCACTCTTTCAGGGGCCTCCTCTCTAGCTGCCCAGGCCAGTAGTTGGCCAACTAGCCTTTGTTCACACATCTCCAGGTATGGAGTATTCATTCCCTCCAGAAGCAACCCTTTCCACAATGAGAAAGTCTGAGTATTAGAAGGCCTTGCCTTCTACTATGTTGACATCTTCCTAAAGTTCCACTGAAAAGTCCAGTAGCTATATCCCACTGTCCTCTCACAGGCTATCACAGTCCCTAGAAAGGGCCAAGATGTGCTCTCTTTCTTATAATCCGTAAATAGAGGTGGGATTGACTGGTCCTCCCATGTCCCACCAGAGTTCCTCCCAGCACACAGATTTTGTGGCTTCTAATACCACAGAAAACTCAGGGCACTTTGACAAATTCAATGTAATTTCACTAACACTTGCTAAGCCTGTTTGTAGTTAGGTCTCCCTTCTACTTATTCAGCACTCTCTTGTTCAGGAGACTGGGGGGTCAAGGCAAGAATCATACATAGAGCTTTGTCCAGACATATAAATCTGATAGTCAATAAACTGATCAGTCTAAAAGGCATCCTTAATGTGAGGATCAATGTGTTTGAAGGTGGTAGGGGCTCTACAACTGAAAAAGATTTATGACAGTGCGGAAGGATTGAAGAGAGGGCTGAAAAAGTTTTATCTTGCTAATGTACACACTCTCTTTATTACCCTATTTGATGGAGTCTAAAATTATGGTTAGCAACCTGAGAGAAAGAATAGGGTACCATAAACAAAGCCTCTTTCATAAGTCAGGGCTGGGACGGCTAGTAATCAAATTCCTTTTTCCTTTCACAATATTGCCTTTAATGAAATGAAGACACAAAGGCCAATATACCAAATGTCCAAGATTGGACTACAGAGATGTATAATTTCAGAAATGAGCTCTGCCCAGGGCATGGTAAGCCCTGAACTCTGGGCCCAGCCCTGCACTGATTTGCTGTGCAGTTTGGGGAAAGTTGCTGCTCCCCTGGGCTCTAGGCTCTTCATCTGAATTGGAGAGGATTGAATTCAAGTCTCTAATGTCCTTAAGGTATAGCATTCCAAAGTCCTAATTCTGTAACCTTCAAACGGAGGTAGAACTCTTTTCAGGAGACCCAGGCCCTGAGTGAGTGAGTTGAATCTGAGTTCATTTGAGCAAAATCAGTGAGTTTCTGTTTTGACTTGGTTTTGTTTCATTTTTGTTTGCATCAAATCCAACGGCTTTTTTTTTTTTTTAACTTAGGTGCATAAAGTAATAAACACTGAATTTTGTGATACCCAAGGTAGCCCAGGCTACAGCCCCAGGGGAATTTCCAGTGATCGTCAGGGGTATGGACAGGACCATCAGTCAGTTGTGGAATGTCCTCTGCAATGATTTTCTAATAGAAGTCCCACTGAAATACTCAGAACGTAGAATATCAGCACTAGAAAGGTCCTCTGATATTATCTGGTCCAGTGAAGGTATTCCTTGAGAGAAGAATTGACCTGAATCACTGACAGAGCCCAGGACTGGGACCACTGTAGTCAGAGGAGGGAACATTGAGTCCTGGGTCCTCGTGAGCCTTCGCTCATTTGCTCGCGTCTCATCTGTGAAACGTTTGCATTGGTCTTGATGATCTCTAAGGTCTTTTCTAGCTCTGCAGTTCTGCTTCTCCCTTCTCAACCTGTCTGGACAAATAGGCAAGGCCTTCTTCTCCAGCATCATCTTTTCGGCCACCCAGTGTGTTTTGGCTACTGATTTGTATTTTGAGTTTGTGTGTGTCTCATTTCATAACATGAAGAAAGGATACATTTGTAGACAAGGTTATTCTTGGATGTGGAAACCAAATTCTACTGCAGTCTCTTGGAACCTTTTGATTTTCCTCAGAGGGATAATCTCAACACTTTGTAAGATGGTTGTCCTTGTGACAGAGAGGGTTAGTGCAGGCTTCCTCAGAGGATAAAACTTCAGCACACATTCTCTGGCAGCATAAAGGAAAGTCACCAGCACTGTTGGCCTGTTATCTTTAAAGAATCTTAAAATCATGGCATTTTAAACCATCAAATTTTAGAATCTTAGAATCCTGGAGTCTGTGTTCCAAGCTGGATCACACCATAAAAGTCATACTAGTTTAACCTCCTATGTACTGTCATCTTTCAGACCAGTCTCTGCTTGTATACCCCCTAGAACAGGAAGCTTACTATCTCTCTATACAGTGAAAGAGAAAAGAATAATAGCTAACCTTTATGAACTGCTTTTAATGTGTCAGGCATTCTTTTAAGGGCTTTGCACTTATTAGTTAATGTATTCATCACAGTAACCCTATGAAGTAAGTGCTATTATTATCCCCATTTAATAGATGAGGAGACAGATGTATTCTACAGCTGTTAAGTAGGAGGGCTGGGGTTTGGACCCAGGCAGTCAGTCTGGCTCCAGACTACTTATAATCACAACCCTGTGCTGTGTGGCTTTCAGAGACAGGCATCTTAGGATTCAGGGGTGTCCTGCCCTCCTGCATGGAAGAGAGGTGCTCTCCACTCTGGCAGGACTCCCCATAACCTGTTTTATTCCTTTAAATCAGAAGTTAGCAGGCTTTTCCTGTAAAGGCCAGATAATAAATATCTTAGGCTTTTGGGGCCTTATGATGTCTGCCATAACTACCATTCTACCAGTAAAGCAGCCATAGTCAGTATGTAAATGAATGGGCATGGCTGTGTTACAGTAAAATTTGATTTACCAAAACAAGCTACAGTCACACACAAAATTGTAGTTTGCATGTTTTAAATGTGAATAGGATGAGTAAAAGATCCTGTGGTAAAACAAATTTGGAAATAGTCTCCTGCATATCCCTATCTTGGAGATTCACAGTTCATCCTATCATTTTAAAACTTCTCAGTGTCATGGAATAAAACCTATTTTCTCTCTTATTTTATATTTCTCCTCCTCCTCCCCCTCTTCCCCCTTCCCTCCCACCTTCTCCTTGTCTTTTTTTTTTTGGCGGGGGGGGGTGGCAAAATAACACTTAGGATCCCTTGTATACTCTTGGGACACACCCATCTTGAGAATCCCCTTTTACAGACAAGTAAACTGTGTCTCCAAGGTGAAGTACACCTCAAATAGCTCCTTCTAGATGTCTGCAAACCTAGACTCCCTGTCTTCCCCACAGTATCTGTTTCTCCTCCTGTGACCACATTTCATGATTAGCTGCACAATCTAGAAACTTGGAGGAACCTGCTCTAGACTTTTTCCGCAACTGACTCGTACCTCCGCTTCCAGTTAGTTTCTAGTTCTTATCAGTGCTACCTTCTCATTAATGTATTTTTCCAGCCCCATTGCTACTTATTTCCCAAGCATATTTGACCACAAAATCAGTTTCTCCAGTTTCTCATGGAACAAACTATGGGTCTGCAGGTGGAAAGATAAATGACATGATTCCAGGGGAGAGGGCAGGACAGCTTTTCGGTGATGCCTTGGGTGGTGACTAAATAACAGCTCTCATACCCTTCTGAGTAGCTCATCAGGGGCAGGGGGTCACCATGCCAAAGCTGTGGTGTGACTTGAGAGAGATTTGTGACTGTGTGGCAGCTTGCTTTAACTTGGGGTTAGGGTAGAAGAGACCCAGGGTCTTCAGAAAAATGGGATTTTAGTTCAGGAAGAGATCTTCATTCTTAGCCTTCTAATTTTACAAAATAGGAAACTAAGGCCCAGAGACTTGCCAGTAATCACAGCAGATTGGAGGAAATCCTGGCCTGAAGCCTGGACCTCTTCTCTTCCAGTAAAGCACCCTTTTCACTCTGGCCCCAGTCCCTTCTTGTAAAAACAGCCCCATGTTACTGAAAGGGTCCTTGGTGAGCATCTTGTAGGAGAAAGACCTGAGGCCAAGAGAGGTTCAGTGATGTGTCAGCCAGACCAAGCCAGGACGGGGACAGGGAAGAAGCCCCAGCGGCACCCCATTGGACATCCAAAGCCAGGATCCCTTGGCACTGTCCCTTCAACTCAGAAAGAAGGTGGTGTTCCTAAAAAGACTTGCTCTTTCTGAACCCCAGGATCCCCTAGTACAGAGTAAGAGAGTGGGGGCTACTTGATGATCCCTTGGGTTCCAAAGAATCATTCCATTTTGTGATTCTCTAAGAACACAGTCTTGTTCCTGAGTGATTCATGTTTCAGGTTTTTCCCGCGAACTTAGGATCTGACTCTCTTTTCCAGAAAATTCAAAGGAAGCACAATTTGTTTGAATGGCTGATTGTGAGCTTCCTGGGGCCTGACTTCTCAGCCCCTACCCAGCTTCAGTCCACCCTGCTGACCCCACATGGCCTGGGTTCCAGGTCGATGTGAACCTTTTTGATCCTTGACTTCAGTCTTTCAGACAGTGGTGGCCCTCCCCCAAACCCCAGGAGGGGAGGAAAGGCCAGCTGTGTAGAGCAAAGTTTTTCAGCATCCCAGAAGATGAGGGTCTCTGAATGGGGTTTTCAGTGGGGTTTCCACCTTAAAACTTGGCAGGGAAGAAGGGGAACATGGTGGAGGGCAGTCCAAAAAGGGAGAGAGATAAAAGGAGAAAAAGAGAGAATACAGGAGAAAGCAAGACAGAAGCAGCAGCAGAGGATGCCCTGAGGTGCTGAGTACGGAGACAGAAAAGCAAGAGGAGAGAGTGCAGTATAGCGCGAGCAGGTTGAGGGTCTCCCGTCCATGCACACCTGCCTGTCTCATGGCACATGGCTCAGAGTCCCAGACTGTTTGAGCTGCAAGGGTCCCTTAAGAGATCATCTGGTCCCAGCCTCTTATTTTATAGATCAGAGCCCTGAGACAGAGAAATAAAAGATGCCACACATGCAGCCACTGAGGGAGCTGCCTCTGGGGCCCGGGCTCTCTGGGTGGAGCCCTGTTCCCTGTCTGTTCTCATCTGTGTTTCCAGCCTGGATTCAGCCCATGTTTGTCTGGGGAGTCGTTGACTGGGACCTGCTGCCTTCCAGTGATGCTGTTCTGCCAACTAATTGAAAGTTTCTCTTATTGCCTTGGTACAGGATATACTGCGGGGACACCATACAAGGTCCCACCGACCCAGAGTAATACTGCTCCGCCCCCCTACTCCCCATCACCCAACCCCTATCAGACGGCCATGTATCCCATCAGAAGTGCCTACCCCCAGCAGAATCTGTATGCCCAGGTAGGTACATGTAGAAGCCCGGGACCACTTCTTCTGCAGGAAGCCACTTCTTCTGCAGGAAGCCACTTCTTCTAAAGGAGCCACCAGCCTGGGTAGGGTGGAGGGGGGTGAAGAAGAGAGTTCGTGGCTCTGATGAACTGTCGCTGTTGTGTCATTAAAACAATAACCTTGCAGTCTACACACTCCCCCAGTCTACCTCAGTCCACAGTCTGAGGCTCTTGTTATTATTTAGCAAAAACATTTGAGAAGCTCTGGATTAAGATGATCCAGAACGCCCTGTCTACTCTGCCCAAAGGTCAGCAGACCTGTGGGGCTGTGACAGCACAAAGCAGTCATGTGATCCAGGCAGTGGGATGTCACCTCAGACTATTGTCTCCATCCTCAACCTTTTTTGCCTCCAGGGAAATAGTAAGAGACATTTGGGGAAGTGCTCTGCATTTATGATATTTTTCCAGTATGTAGAATGGCAGCATTCACACCAGTATGATACTCCCACCAGTAATCTCTCATGTGTGCACATGCACAGTGCTCTGAAGTTCACCAGCCTCGTCCACAGCCCTCTTCACTCACTGATCGTGGTCCCTACCTTTATATTTTAAGCAGTCTAAGAAGAAGCACATTGCAATAAGATAAACATAGTAGATCATCATAGCAGCCCTAGGAGCGAGGCAGGACAGGGTTCAAGCCTTATTTTTCAGACCAGAAGCTGAGCCCAGCACTGAACTGTCCACAGCCATGTAGAAGACAGAAGCAGAGCCCCAGACCTTGTGTCCCTGGGCCAGAGCTTCTCTGACCCCATCCCTTAGGGTTTGGGACAGGCTCCCCTCCTCTCCCGAAGCCTGTGTGACCTCAGCCTTTTTTCCCCCAGGGAGCCTACTACACACAGCCGGTGTACGCTGCCCAGCCCCATGTCATCCACCACACCACGGTCGTCCAGCCCAACAGCATTCCCTCTGCCATCTACCCGGCGCCTGTCGCTGCTCCCAGGACCAATGGTGTGGCCATGGGCATGGTGGCCGGCACCACCATGGCAATGTCAGCAGGTAAGGGCAACATCTGTGTTGGTGTCCATCCCCTTCCTCCAGGAACTCATGACAGTGGAGAACACAGTCATGGAATCGATTGTAGCAAAGCATGAAGAATTCTATGCCTGGGGGTTCTAGGAACACAGAGGAGGACCCTCTAACTCTGTCCACAGGGATGGGGAAGATTTCACCAAGGAGGACGTATTGAGCTAGGCCTTAAAGGGTGAACAGAGGCTAACCAGAAAGACGAAAAAGGGAAGGGCAGTCCAGGGGTAAAAAACATGGGTAAAGCACATTCACAGAATGGAAATGGTCTAAATCACTTAGAAAATAGGGGCATGGAGTTGGAAGGGTGGCTGGAATAGTTGTCAGAGATAAAGTGGTGGAGAGTCTTGAATACCTTTAGGTAACGGGGAGATAGAAAGGGGTTTAAGCAGAGGAGAGATGGAGTTTGGTTTAATCATTCTCTCTGGCTGCAAGGTGGAGGCAGGCTTAGCCAGGGGGAAGCTCTGGTTTAGAGAAGACATGATGATGCTAGGACTCTGGTAGCAGCAGGGTTCCAGAAAGGAGGGCATAGGGCAATGTTATTTAGCAGGCAGGAGCTTAAGGACCTGTCCAATAATTAATTGTGAGGCTTAGGAGAAGCAGGAGTCCAAGAGGACCCCTTCTCCATTTCTGGCTTACTCCAGAAACCCTGCCCTTCGGGAACCTTGAGAATGGGGGCAGGGAGAGATGCCAGAGGAAGAGCAGGTTTAGGGAAGTCTTTGGATGAACTGGCATTAAAAAGAAAGGCATGAGAAGAAAAGAGGGCTCTGAATAACCTTTAGAGACCCAACTTTCAAAGAATCAGCTAGGTCACCTTCTGGGGGAAGAGAGTATGAGGGGTTGAGTGGACAGGAGGTGGGAGTTAGGATTTTATTCTGCCCCCTAATGTAGGCGTTGTTGAGGCCTCTCACTCCCCAGATCAGGTCAGCAAGCTATTGAATGTCTGCTGGGTGCCAGCCTTGTTGGTTGGGTCCTGGGGACCAAATACTGATAGATCAGACCAGAACCCTACCTGTAGGAACAACTAGGTTAGTGGGAACACAACGATGTGAACCAGCGATCACCACTCAGTGTGATGTTGGTGCAGTGAGGGGAGCATACAAAGAAGGGTGAAAGGAGGCCACTGAAGATGAGTGAGTGACTGTCCTGGAGAATGAGGAACGCTTCCCCTGGCAAGATGCGGAAGGGTGGGCAGCAGCTGTGTGAAAGGCTGTGGCTTCATCCTCTTCATCCCAGCGCTCTGGGACGGCCTCATCAGGTTTACTCTTCTCTCTCTGGATGCTCAGGTACCCTGCTGACTGCACCCCAGCACACCGCGATTGGGGCGCACCCTGTCTCCATGCCAGCATACAGGGCCCAAGGGACCCCTGCATACAGCTATGTGCCCCCGCACTGGTAAAGCCTGCATCCCATCCAAGTGAGTGGGGCCCAGGGTGGGAGAGGTAGGAGGGTGACAAAACAGAATTGTTACAAAGCCCCTGTCTTGGTCTGAAGCACAGGTGTCAGCAAGGGGCAGGTGACAGTTACCAGTTACTTTCCTGCTCCAGGTTCAGTAATATCACTCTTAATAATAACTGTAACTTTATATATATTCTAGATACTTAACGTATGCTCTCTCATGATCATCACAGTAGCTCTGTGAAATAAGGATCATTAGCTCTATTTTACAGATAAATACATAGTTCAACATCACTTAACCAGTAAAAACTGGGACTTGAACTCCAATCCTCTAGTACTAAATTCTGTGCTCTTTACCATACAGTCTTCAGGCTCTCTACCTGTGGGCCCCATTCTTCCAATGAACTTTTACCTCAGTCAGATGTTGGCTCTGACTGGGGCCAGGCAAAAACCCTGGGCCATCCCCACCACCAGATTCCTTGCTGCCCTCCGCAGCTGCTGAGGCAGTGCCGGTGAACTGCAGGGCTCCAGGGATTTAAAAATCCTCTGCCCTACTTCCTCATCTCCCCTGCTCTCCTCCTCCAGGAGCTCTTGGCACTGGACGGGAAACAGGCAGCTCCACTGGGAAGGCACAGAGGTCTCCACTTAGGGCTCCCAGCGTGAGGGAGGGGGTCCAGTAGCTTCCTGAAGCGGCCTCAGGGATATCACTGTCACTAACGGCCTTCCCCTTCCTCCCCCAGATCTGGAGTCACACATTGTATGCAACTACTCAAGTCTTACACAGGTGCTGGAGCAGCTCCCTAGCAGCACCACCTCTATTTGCAAGAAGAGACAACGGAAGTGCAAGGGTCACTTTATGCATCTTTAACGGTTTTGGTTTTTATTTTCGGTTTTTGTAAAAGCTGCTTTTTCTAATCTCCTGCCTCTCCCCACTGTCCCCCTTTTAGCCACTGCCCTTCCAGCTCTAGCCCTCCTCCTACCTGACCAGGCACATCCTCTCTGCTCTTCTTTTCTTCCCCAAGAATCCAGTCCCGGGAGCCTAGTCTAGCAGCAGTCAGAGAGTGGGGTCTGTTGCAGTGGTTCAGCTGAACGCGCAATTTCCTTTGAAGAGCATGAGAGATGTGATCCTCAGGTCCAGGGTAGGAACTCAGAGCTGTTGAGCAGGCCACATCTCTGGGGGATTGTTTCTTTTTTGATTTTCCTCAAGCAGGATTAGTTTAAGACATTACCATGTCCTGACACAAATGAAATCTCCTCTGAGAACCATCGCAACAGACCAAGAACAAAACCACCTGATTAGGTAGGAGTGTTCATAGCAGCTTAATAATACCCCAGATCAGAACCTGGGAAAACCAGATTCTTTCTTTGGGAGAACTTGGGGGAGGGGTGGGGGAGGGCACTATGGAAAGGAAGAGGGAAGAGGGTCAAGAGGCGCTTGCCTGCTGGCTTTGGTTGGTAAGGTCTCTGGCCAAATTGTCTGGGCCTGGACCCTCTAACTTGCACAGTGATGTTAACTGACTTGGCACTTCCTCAGAAGGTGATTTTGACCTCAGACCTACCAAGCAGCTGCAGGGTGGTGGGATCCCAGCCTCCCAAAGCCTTGGAAGGCCAGGTGTCCTGTGTAATCCAGACCTTGGCCCCTGGGCCCTCATGGATCCACTCTAATGAGGAGCTTGCTCCTGATTAGAGTGGAAACCTATGGCATTTCTCTCCCTTCCCTTTGCCCTTCCCACTGCCAGGGCTCACCTGTCTGTCCATGGCGCTGGCAGACAGGCCAAGTTCTTGGTTACCTTGTGCCATTCATGGCCACAGTGAAGGAACCACATTCCAGGCGGGTGCTGGCAGCTCTGAAGGTCAGGATAGTGAAGGAAAAGCAATAGCAATAAACACTTCATAGACTCATGGAACTGAAGGGACCTTAGCAACCATCTCATCCATTCCCCTGTTTGACAGATGAGGAAGCTGAGGCCCAGAGAAGCGGAAAGGACTTCCCTAGACCTTGCAGTAAATCAGCATTAAATGCAGCCTTCCTGCCTGGGGCATGTTGCCCATGAAAATTTACCTAGGGATGGATTGGCTTGGTTTTGTAAAAATGAAGTCAGCAGTGCCCACACCTGGTGAGCTCGGGAACAGTCTCTGGGCTTTTGTTTCTGCTCTTTCCCTCCATGGATTCCAAAGGCAGGGATTGAAGACTGGGCAGAGGTGACATGGGGGCAGATGGCAGGAACAGAAATTGCAAATGAAGAAATAGCGTTTGGAAATTCTGTGAAGACATCTGGAACTCTCATCCTATACCTGACTCCAGCCCTAGGGATGGCTGAAAAGGAGTCCATGCTTTTAAGACAGTAGCCCCTCATCCTGAGAGGAGAGGAGGAGGAGACACGGGCTCTCCTGGGAGAAGAGGGACGCACTGGTCTCAGCCAGGAGCCCGGTAGTCTAGCACTGTCCCCCTACTCCCAGCACTTGGCTGGGCCAGCAGCCCCTTTGGGGATGCGGGGAGAGGAACATTTTACTGTACAGAATGGAATCATTGATAACATTTATAACTTTTAAATAACTCTCTTCATTTGAAATTCATGCATACTTGGACATAATCCCTACCCCTACCTGCCGTGTCTCCCTAAAGGAGGAGAAAATCAGGAAGCCCTTGGGCCAGAAGGACCTCAGAGGCTATCTGGCTGTTCCCAGGAGGGCAAAGCCCAGCAGCATCCTCAACCCAGAGCCAGGAGTTGAGGGCCCACCTTCTTGGCTTTCCAGGGAAATGCAGCACTGGTAAGGAGAAGCCCAGCTGTCCTAAATTAAATGGTCTGTTCTGGGGTGCTGAAGAGGTTTCATTTTAAAACAATAGGAAGTTTTCCAGTGTTAATCCATTTTTTGCAAATACCTCCTCCTACTCTCTGGTTTTCTAAGGGTGGGTGAAGGTTGTTTTAGATTATGTCATACATGTTTAGAAAATGCCAAAATAATAATAATGATTATAATAATAATAGGAAACCTTTGCATTTGTCAGGTGCCTCATAGACTTCAGAGCACTTCACAGCCTTTAATTTACTGGCCGAGAGAAAGGGTCAGAGTTATTACACCCATTTGACAAATGAGGAAACTGGTTCTAAAAGGAAAGGGAACTTGCCCAAAGTGAGCAGAATGCTGGTATCCTGACAAGCTTCCCTGAACCCTGCTGCCTCCAGATGGGCTAGGGTAGGACCACAGAGAGAAGGAAAAAGGGAGGAGATCTAGGAATGACCTTTTTATTTTTGTTCATTCTACACCAGTAAGTAAAAACTAACATCTAGTACCTGACAGTTCACAAAGCAGTTTCATATCCATCATCTGGTTTAACCCTGTGAAATAGATTATTCTCTCATTTGATCCATGAGGAAACTGAGACTTGGAAAAGCAAAGTGACTTGCTCATAAGTGGCAGAGCCATTTGAATCCCAGCCTGCTGCCTCTGTCCCTGCACTCTGAATCCACACACGGCTCATGGACAGAAACATCAATGCTCAGTACCCTCTCTTAGCCCTAGTATGTAATTCAAGATCAAAGACAGGCCCCAAGGCAAAAACAAGGTGTGAAAAGGCTGTGGTCTGGAAGAGCCCAGGCCCAGCGCCCCTTTTTCAGCCTGAGCCACTGGAGTCCCAGTTCAGCTGGCCTCACCCTTTTTGCTTTGACAGAGATCCACAAGCCTGGCCAAGCTTGGGGAGTCATTGCAGAGGGACTGAGCCCAGGAGAACAGGGGCAGTAGTGTGCCTGTGGTAGGATGAGAGCACACCTGGTAGGATCACAGGCGTCTGTTGGGAGGTACCATGGGTGTTATCCAAAGATACTGGATGGCCCAGTGGTCAAGCTGGACAGAGGTCAGAGCTGGAAGGGCCCTGCCATTGTAGGAAGGCCAGCAAGCCAGAAAGGACAAGGGGTGTGCCCACATACATAGCAAGCTACAGCGTGGCACCAGCAAAGCCCTCTCTCCACCCCACTCCACTGCCTCTCCCTAGTACCACAGGCTTGGTGGCCAGGGTCAGGGGTACAGGTGGTTCCAGTCACCAGCCAACCCCCTTGGCTTCTGCCACTTCTACCTGGCTCCTTCTCATTAGCCTGGGGTCTAGGAAGCTGGAGTCTGGAGTGCCCCCAAGTGGTTAAGAGCCTGGAATTTATCTTTCTGCCGCGTTCTGGAAAAATGTATTTAATTTCTTCCCCATGAGACAGGGCAGTTGCTGCTGTTCCTCTTTCTCTCCTGGCAGTGACCCAAAAGTACGTATCCCACTCCTGTATCTTGAAAAAGGACACTCGCACCTGTCCAGAGTTTTCTGTCTGTGTACAAAGTACTTCAACATTGATTGCCAAAAATCCCCATTTTGTAGATGGAAAAACTAAGTCTCAGAAGGCTTAAGAGACTTGCCAAAGGTCACACAGCTCATAAGAGAAAGAGCCAAGATTTGAACTGTTTAAATCCTCTGCTTTCTGCTGGCACCTGCTGGGTCTGGGTGGCAGGCATGCAGAAGGGATGGGCTACCTATCTGCCCCCAAACAGGAAGACCCCACGGAAACCTGGGGAGCTCAGTCCTGCCAACTGAGCAGATTTTTATGAGGAGCCCTGGGAGCCCAGAGGCATATCCAGATGGCAGCACCCAGAGGATGAGAATTTGCAAGAAAAGGCTTAACTTGAGCAAAACATTTTGGGGTCATGAGGTTTAGGACTGAAGACATGTTCAAGGGCAGCCCCAGGCACCTGTCCGTTGAAAGACCCATGTCCCTGGGAAGCCTGCGTACCCTTACTTTCTGACCCTGGAGAGCCTGCCCACTGTCCAGACCTGGCGAGTTGGCACTTCCAGGGGACCTGGTGTAGCCCTGAATGGCCAAAAGCACATCTGACTCAAGTCTCTGGGCCTGTTTTTCCCCTGGGTGAGGACCAGGATCTAGAGAGACACTGTGCAGTCCTTTCTCCCTGTCCCAACTCTGACCCTTGGGCACCCAAAGTGTTCCAAGTTTGAGGTATCCCACTCCCAGAGATCTGGGAGTGCTTCTTCGGAGAGGCTGGCTTTGTTCTGAGTAGGCTTCAGAAATGAATCACATGGAGCATAAAAGTAGTGCAGATCCTCTGGTCACCAAGTTCTGGTGTCCTCACTGTACAGACAGGACTCTGGCTGAGTCAGGCCTGGAGCCCTGCATATCAGATCCTCAGCTCTGCTCTGTGGCCAGAGAGGGAGGGCCTAGACGGCATGGGTCTTGGAGTGCTCTTGGCCCCAGCACTGTGGTTGAAGCAGTCATTTAGATGTCACCATGGCATTTTCTCCTCAGTTGCTGTTGAGTGAAAGTATGTGGAAGCTCTGCTTTTCCATCCTGTATTCCACATCACATAGGATATGTGGTCCCCAGCTGCTTGCCAAGCTTGGGAATCCGGAGAGGGCAGGTGAGGAGGCTCCATACTTGTGTCCAGCCCCAGGGGAATCCAGGCCAGACCTACCTCCAAAAGCAGGATCACAGCAGAGGAGACCCAGCCAGGCTAACATCTAATTCCACACCTGAGCCTCTGAGAGCTCAGCCTACTATGGGTGTGCCAGGCTGGTGGCAGGATCTGTCCTTTACCTGTCCATGTTCCCTTCTCCTAGATAACTTGTTTCTGAAATTAGGCATTACGTGGTTCTAGGGCCCAGCCTTTAAAATTCCTGACAGGCCAGTTTCAACATTCCATAACCAACCTTGCCTGAGCCAGACTTGGGTCTCACTCCCTCACTTTCTCCAATGGGTGTTTTCTATCTTGCACGCTGTTGAGTCCAGCCCAGTGGTAGGTGATTGGGGTTGGTTGTCACAGAGCCAGACAGGGAAACTAGAACTCTTGCTTCCCTGTGGCTGCATGCGTAGTCCCTGGGTATTCTTGCTGTGGCAGTGAGGCCCTGTACCCAGTCCAGCTCCTGGTAGAGGGGGTATTTTCCTTTCTGAGGAGAACAGATATAACAGCCTTGCTGATAAGTACCAGCCCATAGGACTCAAATGGGTGAAGTCATCTTTGGGCCTGACCCCAGCAAGACCAGCATCTCCAGGCTCCAGCCTTCCTCCTCATGCCTGAGAGTCAGGGAAAGAGTGGGACTGCCCAAAGACCACCTTCTTGGGTCAGCCAGATTATCTGGATCTGTGGTGGCACTCCAGCTCTTCCTTACCCAAGGGGATGTAAGGCCAGGCCTCTAGCAATGTGGAGTTGTCTGTAGTGACCTTTAAAGGCCCAAGGGCCTGTTCCCATCTCCTAACTAAAAGGTATCTTCATCCCTGTTCATGTCACACGACAGAGAAAACTTGTTCTCATGACATGTACCATCCCTGTGAGAGAGCGTTGTATATGATTTTGTATTTTTTAATTCATTTTAATCTACAGGTTGGAATCTAATTTTTAAATTTTATTGGAACTCACATTTTAAAAAGAAAAACATTTAAAATAATAATAATAAACATTTGACCAGTGTCTTCCAAGTAGTTTGATCAAAGAACTTATAGGTGTTTTCAAAACACAGCCTGGAGTGTAAAGATTGGAAAGCCCCATGGCCTCGCTTGTGTGTATGAAGTGTAAATCTGGTTTTGTTTTGTTGTTTTGGATTCTTTTGGGTTTTTGTTTCATTTTGTTTTGAAGATCAGATAGTGATCACTCTGAAAGATTGAAGCCAAGAATTTGTAACTATGATATTTACTGTAAGCTGTAGAACATTCAATAACTATTAAAAAAATTTCCAAAAAACGTCTGGGGTGACCAGACTGGTGGTTCTTGGGGGAGGGGGACACAGACACCTCCTGGGCCAGTGAGAGTCCCCTGGGTTTCTTCCCAAGTTGATCCTAAACTTGTTTTCACCAGTCAGGTAACACCTACGCTGCATCTCCGGGGAGGCCCTGGGACTCACAGTTGGGCCTGGGAAGTGGCCGTCGGCACCTGGACTAAGGTGTGTGATACCGAGTGCCCACCATGTGGCCAGCACTGTGCTTTATGCTTCGCAACTCATAATCCTCACAGCAGGATGGGAGGTGAGCCCTGTTGTTAGCCCTGTCCTTGGTAGTGGGCAGCTAAGGAGGGTTAAGTAAGTACCTCAACCAAGGTTACAGAGCTAGTGAGGGGCGGAGTTGGAACTTACACTTGGTTTGGCTCCAAAGCCCAGGCACCAAGCCCCAAGCCCCACATTCTCCTGCCCACCCTGGAGGAGGCAATGCCTGTAACTCACTTCAAGGGTAAATTGGTCAGGTGGGAAACCAAGGGAAGGGCTTAGTGTGGTTTGTAGTCCCAGAAGGACAGTTGAAGGCAGTCATATGGTCTCCATCCAAATGGTCATCAAGTGCTGTCAGTTTTATTTACATCCTAAACATCTCTCTCTTGTCCAGGCCTGGGCTTCTCTCCCTGGTTATCACAGCCACCATCCCATCCTAGGGCCTGGCCCCTGCAGTCCACGCTCTCCCAGCCTCCAGGTATTCAGCTTCCTCAAATGGAGAGAATACTTGAGGCCCAAAGAGGCTAAGTGACCTGGCTGTAACTAACACTCAGGACTCCTGACACTCGAGCCCTTTCCACCAAACCGTACCCTGGGCCTCCATAATGCCTTCCCCAGTTTCCTCTCCTGTCCTCACCTGACATGAAACTTATTCTCCCTCCCTTGCGATGGCAGAAAGCGCTGTCGGGTGTGGTAGGGGAGGGCCTTGCTGGGCTCTCTTCCCCTGCACAGGAAAGGGATTTTTCCCAGGGACTCAGCTCCAGGTCAGTGGCAGGGCTGGGGGCCAGGAGCAGGTGGAAGGCAGAGACCGGGGCCCCAGCACCGACCATTCTGGCCCATGGAGGAGGGGTTATGGAGTGAGAGAGGGCAGTCTCAGAACTGTCCTCAGTGGTTGGCCCAGGGCCCCACTGTGTCCTCCAGCTCCCAGCCCTGCCAACAGCCTGGGCCTACCTTGCTCAAGAGCAGGATTTAGAGCCAAGAAAGCTTCCACGTGAGGGTGGGGGCCCTAAAAGCCAAGGGTATCAGACACACCCCTACCTGATCCCTCAGCAACTCATCCCACTCTTTTGGGAGCTGGCCTCAGTATCCTCCAGGGACAAGAGACTGGGGCCAGGGCTATTCTTTCTCTTACCTTCCAGCAAGCAGGAAATTGGGGTGGTGGGAGTGGTCTGGAGGGGAGCAGTGCTTATTACCCCAGGGCCCAGCACTGAGATGGGGTGTGCGTTACCTAACCCGGGAAGCCCAGACCCAGCCTCAGCCTCCACCGTCGCTGGCATCTGTATGTGCCTCACCCCAGGCAAGAGGGCATCCAGAGACCAGAGTCCAACTTCCCCCTGGGAAAGGAGGCCAGAGAGTGGGAGGGCTCAGCCTCCCACCCCTTTCCCCCAGGGCACTGTCTCGTCCTCATCTCAATGTGTCACGCAAGTCCTCGGTGAAGTGGGGTTGGTTGGCTGAGGGGACAGCCAAGTTTGAGAAGCCACACCCTGAGGTGCAGCTGAACAGCTGGCGAGTAGGGACACCAGTCGCACCATGGCGGCCCCAGGGAACATTCCCCGGGGTGCACTCGTGATGCCCACTGGTCCCCTACAACAGACACCCTGTCCTAGACTTTGGCAACCTTTGTTGCTCCAGAAAATTCCTCCTGATGTCCAGCCTGTCTCCTTCCCTCCCCTCTCCTAGAGCAGGTGATGCTTTGCCTCCTGGGTCCTCAGAGGTGCCCTCCCTTTCCGTCCCACCTGAGAAGCCCCAGAGAGAGAAGCCTGTGCCCTAAGAGAGGTGAGAGAAAGGGAGAGGTCGAATCTCAAAGCTCAGCCTCCCCTCAGGCGGGGATTTTTCTCTGAAGCTGCTAGGCCGGCCCCTTGTCATGGCTTCTGCCCTGTGTGAAGCCTGGGCCTCCCGCAGGGTGTCCCTTTCCACACCTCCCCAGGCTCCATGAACCGTCACTTTTTGGTTCTTCAGCCTCTCCTTGGGCCTCTTTCCCATTAGTGTTGAAATATGTCCTTTTCTTCCATCTTTTTTTTGTTTGTTTGTTTTTCTTTTTTGGCCACACCACGCAGCACGCGGGGATCCTTAGTTCCTCGACCAGGGATTGAACCCGCTCCCCCTGCAGTGGATGTGTGGAGTCTTAACCACTGGACTGCCAGGGAAGACCCTCCGTCTTTTAAAACCATACCAAACACCAACAGAACCTGGAATTAACTAAAAACCCTCTCCCCCTGGAGCCTGAGGGCCTACTAGCTATTACCTGGCACAGTCAGGCTTCTGCAGAAAGCTCAGCCCACTGGGACCTGGCTCTGGTCTCGCCACATCCCTGTGTTGGCTAGCCAGGGGACGCTAGTCCTGACCCTGCAGCAGCGCCTGGCTTTGTGACCCACCCTGCTCCCCATACTCTCGTCCTTCCCTGGCTTCCAGGACGCTGCACTCTCCTGCTTGCTTTCCTTCCCACCTTTCTGGGTCTTCCCTGAGCTCTCTCCCTGGAACGTGCTCCCTCCCAGTCCAGTCCTGGTGCAAATGCCCATCTGAGTGCTTCCAGGTATCATCGTAGGCCAGGTCTGTCCCTTGAGCGCCGCGGGCCTGCACGTGCAGGTGCCTCAGGACATCCCGTGGGTCTGCATCACTGCTCCCCACTCAGCTGGCCCTAATCCCGTGAGCCACATCCCGGCACCAAGGCCTAGCAGTTCCGTCCTCTGTCCCAGGAGTCTTTCCATCGCCCCCGCAAACCCCTGCTCCTCCGTCTCTTGTCTGGATGGCTGCAACAGCCGCCTGTGGATCCCTGCTCCCACAGCTCCTGCACCCTCTACAGTGGTCAGGAATGAGCTGGCTAGTCATACTTTTTAGCCTTCCTGAATGCTCTAGAGGCTCCTTGGGCATCCCTGGCATAGGGCCAGTGGCTTCCAAGAACCCATGTGGCTGCCTTCTGCTGCCACCCCCAGTCCAGCCTTCACACCTGAGTCACTCTATACTTGAAGCTTCTCCGGCTCCTCATATTTTCATTGCCGTCCGGCCTTTGTACATGCTGTTCCCCCTCTGTGGAACACAGCTCCCCTTCCCACATTCTCCAGCCCTCAATATGCCTTACTTACCCCATCCATTTGCCAGGCTCCACTTCCTCTAGAGCTGTGCTGTCCAATACAGGAGCCACTAGCCACATGAGGTTATCAAGCCCTTGAAATATGCTACTTCATATTAAGACATGCTTTAAGTGTATTTACCACATTTCAAAGCAAAAAAATGGTTAATTCATAATTTTTATACTGATTTCATATTGAAATGAAAGTATTTTAGATATACTGGTTAAGTAAAATACATTGTTGATATCATTTAAAATAAGTTCACTTGGTTCTTTTTACTTTTTACAATGTGGCTATTAGAAAAATTTTAATTACATACGTGGCGCACACTCTATTTCCGTTGGACAGCACTGCTTCTAGGGCCTTCAGTGAGAACCAGGTGACCTGAGAGGCCACCTCCGGCCCCACTTCAGCTGCTGCCTGGTGTCCACCTGCCAAACAGCAGGCGCTGCCAGGGGAGGGATGGCCTGACCCACACACGGAGCCCGACCCACAACTATTCACTGAATGGGCAGACCTGAAAGAGAGCGCCTCATGACACTACTTTCCCACCTTTTATTCAACAAATGGATGATGTAGAGACACAAGGGTGGGACAACAGCAAAGTTTCAATAAATAAGAGAAACGGGGACAGCAGTGGGCCCATGCCTGCACAGCCCCACATAAATAACGAGGTTGCTGAGCCAGAGTGGAGACGCGGGCTGGGCAGTCGCCCGCACTGCCCAGGCCAGGGGACGGACACACCAGTACCACAGGGACACAGAAACCACCGAGGCCAGAGGCCTCACCCCTTACCCTCCAAAGCGCCTGAGATCTTGTGGGTGGCTGGGCAGGTTGGGGCTCTGTACCACAGCCCCGCCCAGGTCAAGCCTGTTTTTTCAATTTCAATAAAAACAGCAGGGTCAGGGGCAGGCACGTGCATTATGCCCCTTCTGTAGGCAGAACCATGGATGGGCAGCCCCTTGGGAGCCTTGAAGGTGGTGGCCCTGAAGCAGCAAAAAACGGGGCCAGGTAAAACTAGTGGGAGGGGTGGCAAGGGGCCAAGTGCTCCATCTACACGACCCAGCCCAGAGCCTGCAAGATGCAGGAAGGCCCTGGGCACCGAGACGCCACTCTCTCCCCACTTCACAGTCAGAAGAATTGGGACCCAGTAATGGCCAGGGGCTTGCCCAGGAACTCGGTTCCTAGCTCATGGCTTTTTGTTGACCCCTCCCTTTGCAGGACCTCTCAGGAAGGAGGGGGAGGTCCCCTCTACAGAAGCAAGGAGTGGCTCATCACTAAGGCGTGGGGCCAGGGGTGCCAGGTAGAGGGCCCCTCCCCACCACTGAGGCCTAGCCACCTGGCGGTGCAGAGGACCCTGTGGGCTCCTAGGATCCAGCCAGGGCAGGGCACGGCATCAGGGACATCCTGCAGGGAAGGAAATGGGCGGCAGGGACGGGAGGGGCTCTCAACCTGCTCCTGCACACAGCACCCGCCGGCACGCTGGCTGGCCTGCCTCCTCACTGGGGTGGACGCTCCCACCTCCAGGCCTTGGCCTTGGCTGTTCTGTCTGCTGGGCCATTCTGGATCCTCACTAGCTCAGCTGCAGCTCTACCTCCTCCAGGAAGCCTTCGGAACCTCCCAGGGCAAGGCTGCAGTATCCTCAGATGAGACAGCCCCTCAGATGACCAGGTTGCTCTCACTCAGCCGGACCACATAGCGGTTCTCCTGGGGGACAGGGGTGAGGGGTCAGAGCTGTCAGGGGGCTTCTGGACTCCAAGAAGGAGTATCACAGCAAACAGCTGGCACAGACCAGCCACAGGCCTCTGCCCAGGTGAGTGGGCAGGTGGGCAAGGAGGGCCCCAAACCAGGGCCCAGGAGACTCCAGGAGGTAGTGAAGGGGAAGCGGGGTGACAGGAGGGGCAACATACCCAAGTGGTGAGTCCCCAGGAGGCAGTAGCCCTCTGTACCTCCACCCCTGCCCCATCTGCAGTCGGGGTTGGCACAGGTGCCAACAGACACCTTTCCCCTCTGGTCCTCACCTCGGCCTTGTTCTCTGCTGGGGACTTCAGCCATTTAGGGTGGCTTCCACCACTTCCCAGCAGTGTCCGCTGCTCACTGGAGAGGCCACGTCGTGGGGAGTCAGGGAGATCACCCCCTGAGGACCCGGCCTCCGTGATGGTCTTCACCTCTGAGGCCACCGAACTCATCCGCTGCTCAGGAATTCGGGCCACACGGAACCTGTGGGGAGAGGTAGTGCGATCATCCTCCATTAGAGGGAGGACCCCAGGTGTGGAGGGCGCAGCACCCACCAGGGTCACACAGCAAGTTCATGGGTCAGAGCCTGAGCCCTCCCCACGTCTTCCCACCCACTGACAAGCTCCCAACACCTCCCGACACTAGGCTGCAGGTGGACAGGCTCTTAGCCTGAGGCGGCGCAGGTGTGATGGGGGCTATGACCCTGCCCTGGGGGACCAGGGACTCCATGTGAGAGAGCGTAGCTGGGAAGACCTGGCTTTTCCCTGGTCGCCCCCACTGCAAAGAGGCCCACTGAAGCCAGGAAGGGTGAGGCCACCACTGAACCCAGTGTTCATGGATCAGGCTAGGGCCCTGCCACCCCCAGAGCTGTCATGTCATGTTGTGGCACCCTGCTGTGTCTATGCCCTCCTCACCTGCCCACAGACAAGATGGTGATCTCGCCCTGGCGTCCTGCCTTGGCCCCGACCTTGGGCACCCTGGCCGGGTTGGGCAGGAGTCTGGGAGTAGGAGTGGTGGCAGCTGCAGCCTCGGGGGACAGCAGCACCTCGGGCCACTTCTGGCTACAACGGGAGCAGCAGGGGCCAGAGAGTGAGGCCAGGCCCTGCACAGTGTGGAGGTGGTGGCGATGCGGGCAGACGTGTGGCATGCTGGGTGGGCCCGGCGGCAGCCTGTGGAAGACACAGGTGGGAGCGGTCACTGGGGCAGGGCAGGCCCAGGAGACCCCAGGAGGTAGGTGAAGGGGAAGCAGGGTGACAGGAGGAGCAACATACCCAAGTGGTGAGTCCCCAGGAGGCAGGCTGATTACCTGTGGTTTGGGGCCCTCCTTGCCCACCTGCCCACTTACCTGGGCAGAGGCCTGTGGCTGGTCTGCACCAGCTGTTTGCTGTGATACTCCTTCAGCAGCTCCTCCAGGGCCGCCGCATTCTCTGTGGGCAGCTGTAGTCAGAACCTGGCTCTGGGCCGTGAGGGGCACTCCCCCCAACCTCCTGCCCCAGCACAAGTCCCCCTACCTACCCGCCACCCCCTCCCTGGCCCAGGCTGTGTGCCTTTTCCTCCACCTCTCACCAGGCAAGAGCAGGCAGAGAGGCGGGAGCACCATGAGCCACAGTGGTCAGAGAGGGGGCACGCTGGCCTGAGGTATCCCGGCGGGAGGGGCAGAGCAGAGCTCTGGGAGGGATGGGGTCAGACCTCCCCCCTCACCTTTCTTCTCTGTGATCAGGCGCACCAGGACCCCAATGGTGTCCTCATTGGCGTCATCAGTATGGTAGGCAGGGTTGACCCCTGGGGAAGAACAGAGAACCATGATCCTAGGGAAGGAGACAGTGGGACACTCTGGGCTCACAGGCTACACCAGGACATGGCAGCAGAGGGCGCCCCTGGCCTGGCTGTATGCGTACCTAAGGGCCTCAGCTCTGATTCTGAGCCCATTATCACCTTCACTACTTACTCAGCATCACTGCTCCCTGCACCCAGCAGCACCAGGGGCTTAGCGGTTTCAGGGCCATCTGAACTCCACCGTCCCTGCAGATGTGTGGGATGAGGGAACCAGCCTCTCCCAGGGCCTGCCCTCTCCTCTCTTTAGCCTCAGGGAGCTATGGGCTGCCTCTCTGCCCATGACCTCTGACAGCCCCAGCAAACTCTGCCATCCCAGGCCTATCACCTCCCTGCACACCGCCCTGTCGGTATAACTAACTGAGGACCCGAACCTCAAGAGCATGAGACTGGGCCATGCAATCATTCCTGGGCCAGCAGCAAACAGAACTCCTAGGACTCGCACCCAGGCAGCAGCCAACAGTTAAAGGGAGTCCTAGGCCAGGAAAACAAGTGCAGTTCCAGGCAAAATGGCCTGAGTTGCCACTTTCCTGCCTGCCTAAAGCGCCTGTCCCCCTCCTGACCTCTGCAGACTGCAGTGTCGGAGGTTGAAAAGGGCGCTGGCATGGCAGGCGCCATTCTATCTTGACTTGGCCCCCAATTTCTGTGAGCAGTGTATGTGCATGTGGGATCCGGGCCCTACTGGCCCTCAGGGGACAGCGCAGAGGGGTAAGGGGAAGAAGAAAATGGACCCAGGGCCCTGGGGTAGGGGCAGGAGGAACATGTCTCTCCCTCTGGGTCCAGGGTTCGTAACTCAAACCACAGCCTGGAGCTGAAACCTGAGCCTCTCATGGTCCCTGTCCAAGACAGCTGCCCTGCCAGCCCTTCAGGCCAGAGGTCGGAGGTCACCCTGAGTACCCAGAAAGCAGTCCAACCCTTGAACCACACACACAACTGCAGCCCCTGAGGAGTCCAGGCCCTTACAGCTGGGTAGGGCCTCACACAGGGAGGGAATCCCACTGAAGCCACTTGACCGCTGCTCTGCCTCTGCTCTGCCCCAATTGCCATGTCGGGCCGCCTCACCCTTTCTTCTACTTTGCCAGTCCGCAGTGTCTCCTCTGCGGCCCACGTGCGGCACCTCCGGGAAACTCTCCTGATTAGCCCTCTGCAGGCCTCTCTCCATGTCAGACCGTCCAGACCAAGTAGGTTCTCAGCCGCGCCCTCTGGCCTCCCCACCCAGCCCCAGGCTGGGCCTCACCGCTGCCTCCGCCTCCAGGACCAGGCCCGACCTCCTTGTGGGCCGTGCAGTGGTAGCCCTTCCGCTTGAGCAGGTTACACACCAGGATGCCTAGCAGCCCCATGAGGCAGAAGATGGGCACAATGGCAATAACCGCATACTGGGCAGCTGTCTCCTCGGGGCTGCCCGCCTGTGTGCTGTTCCCAGGCTGCCGCGTCTCCCCTGTGCCGCTCACCCCTGCTGCCACCTCCATGCCACGTCGGGCCCGTCGCCCCCGCTCTGAGCACCACGGAGGATGGAGGCATGGAGGAAAGACAGAGGCAGAGAGAAACACACTCAGAGAGGCCCAGGGCCCGGGTTACTGTGGGCAGGGGTCGGGGCGGTGGGTGGTACCGGCATGTCCAGAGCACCCACTCTCCACCATGGTGGGGAAGTAAAGGGCAACTCACACCCTCCTTTTTGGCCATCTGACCAGTCAGCCAGCCTGAGCAAGGCCTCCTCAGCCCTCAGGACGGCCAGACCCTGAGGCCCCTGTCCACCCCTCATGATGGGTCAGAGGGGTGAACAAAAGGCAACGGTGCACATGCCTGGGCACAGCAACACCGGATCCTGCCTCCCCACAGCCTGACGCATGAGTTAGTTGCCTCAGAAGGTGACCAACTCAACAGGTGAGAGGAGGTGCAAGTGTGTAAGCGTATGTGCTCACACTCAGCTACGTGGGTTATTTCGAGGGGAAAAGGACAGGAGACTGGTTGGGATGTGAAACCCAAGCTGTGGCAGCCACCTGCTGGACAGTCTCTGCCACTCAAAGACGGGGTGAGAAGACACAGCCAGTGGACCTGCTGGACACGCTGTGGCTGCACACCCTCCCCTGGGCTAGGGGAGTGAGGACCCCCACTGCCCCAGACGGACACTGCGGGGCCCTTGGGCTCAAGCTCGCCAGACCCCTTCCCACACATACCCCGCCAGTCCTAGCCATCACCTGCCACTCACCGTAACAGCCGCGAGTACCCAGGGGTGTCCAGGAGCACGGCTGACAGGGAACACGGGGGACCTCTGACGGGGCAAACCACCTGCAGGGAGGGAAGATGTTACTGAAGCCCAAAAACTATCCTTAAGAGAGGCTGGACCTTCCTACTGGGCACCCTCACTGGTCCTGGCCCACCCCATTTCACAGATGGGAAGACTGTGGCCCACTCAAGAGGTGAGTGAGCCTGGGACCCCAGGATCTCAAGTCCTGGTCACCTGGTCATGAACACCCACACCCCACCCCATGGCTCACCCAGGCTGGCAGTTTCCACATAGTGTGTCTCGAGTTGCCGTGCCCACCTGGGCCTCCAGCCTCCCTTGAGGGCTGCAGCGGGAGTGCGGCTGGCAAGGGCTAGAGCCCCAGGAAGCTGAGAAGGTGCCTGGGGGGCAGGACCTGCATAATGTGCCCCGCCCTGGTTCCTGCAGGAGAGAAAGAGTGAGAACAAAGCCAGGAGCCAGGCCTGAGGTCCCTGCCCCTGGCCGTCAACAGTCTTCCCAGGAGAGGTGGATGGGCAGGGCGAGCTCACCAGGTTGGGCTCCTCGCCGGGTGGGCACGGCCAAGGGGTTGTTGATGTTGCAGTGGCCAGAGGCCAGGGCAACAGCTGGAAGAAAAGAGGGCAGGACACACTGAGGGAGCGGAAAGCACCGGGACATGGCATCTCTGGGGCCACCTACCCCCCACCCACTTTCAGTCACCCCAGGCACAAGGACCACCAATATACAGGGCCACCCCCAGGCTTTGGGGACACTCTCTAACCTCAGTCCCTTGTGCTACAAGTAAAATCTGCCTGTCCCAGACCTGCTGCATTGCCATTGCCTAGGCAAGGGGAGAACCACATCTGCTTCTGGAAAGTGCTGAAACGCCTCAGACAGGGCCAGATCAGGATCTTGAGCCCCTGGGTCTGTGAGTCACGCCCTTGTAGCTAACCAGCATGATGAGGAGGAAATTCTTCTGAATTCCTCTCTCAGGTTCCGCCCCCCTTCCTGCTGCCTTGGTCCACACACCACAGTTGAAAATGTCATTAAGCAGCCTCAGTTCATCATCCCTGGGGCCGAGACTGCAGATGGGGCCTCGGGGCCTCGGCTGAGTCTCTGGGACCACATCCTCCTCCGTGACCTTCCCACAACACAAGGCCAGCCCGTTCACACCCTGGGACCCACACAGAGCATGACAGGCCCCAAAGGAAGGATCTTCTCCATTCGTGTCCTCCCCCTATTCCTCTCGGAGCTCCCTCTCTTCCCATTCCAGGTGTGAACTATCTGCCCTGAACCCTGCCCGCAGGGGAGATCCCCCAGTCCTCCAGTTGGGCCCCAGTTTGGGGCAGGCACAGCGTATAGCCAGCTACCCTGAAGGGCAGAGGGAATGTCACACGGGAGGTGCCAGAGACCTCCTCAGGCCCTAGACGCGGCTCCAGCACGTGCCAAACAGTGGGAGGCCGACGGCACCAGGAGCACGTGGGGCAGGAGGCGCTTCCTAGGGTCAGACTGCCTCGATTCTTCAAAAGAAGAGCCATGTAACTAACTCCAGTACCCACTGCAGCACGAGGTTCCTTGAGCACAGGGCTCAGGACTCACCTTCCCCACGGTCCCATCCCCAACTCACCACAAGGAGGCAGGATAGGGGCCAGTGCGGTGGGCTCAGCTTCATCCTCAAGCCCCAGTGGGTCGCCAGCCTCAGGCAGATGGAGGGGAGGCTCAGACGGGGATGGGACAGGCAGGCAGGCAGGCAGCTGCAGTCCTCCTTCCAGGACGGGGCTGGACGGGAACATCGAGAGGTGTCACCGGGCAGGCAGAATGCTGGGGCGGCTTGGCCTATGCTCACTGGCCCTGCCCTCTGGTCCACTGCAAGCCCTAGCAGAGGTGGGGGCACCCTGTCTGGGGCCAGCCTCCCAGGGCAGCTTCCCAGTGGAGGAAGGGCTTCCTGCCTCTTCCATAAACAGCCAGCTGTCCTAGGCCCGGGCAGGGGAGCAGGGGAGGAAGGAAGCCTACAGCCTACAGCCTCAGCCCCGGGGGTGGGAGGAATGAGAGTGCTGACAGCGACCCCACGCCCGGCCTCCCCACTTGCATCCCCAGCTCTCAGGCTCCTGCCTCTCAGAACTCCTTGGGGCGCACAAGCATGCCCGCCTCTCCTACTTCTCTGCCTTCACTCTTGCTGTTTCTGCTCCAAGGAAGGCCTTTTCTGTCACATTTCAAAGCCCAACACAAAGGCCTCTTGTTGTGGAAGCCTCTCTAGACTTCCATTTCCCCAAAGCTCCCCCACCCCAACCCCATCACTGTGCTGGTCCTCCCACGGGTCCCACGGTCCCGCCTGGCAGACTTCTCCAGAGATCTGGGATGTGTCTGACTGCATCTCTTGAGCTGCGGGCAGACCTGCAGGGGTGGGGAGTGACAACCAGCATTCAAGCCTTCTGTCTTCTCTTGGGCACCTGCTGTGTGCTGGGCACTGCCCTCAGCACGGGAAAAGGTATGAACAAGACAGGCGCTGTCCCTGTCCTCAGGGAACTCACACCCCAGGGGAGACCAACGACCAACAGATAAACAGTGAGTGTCCCGTGCCAGAGCCAGGGAAGTGCCAAGAAACCAAATAAGGCATGTGAGGGCACAGAGGGTGATGGGCACAGGCCTGAGGCTGAGCCCCCAGGCTCAAGGGTGTGGCCTCCTCTATAGAAAAGTCTCCAGCGGAGGACAAGGTTGGAAGAGCAGGAAGAAGAATATGGATTGCACAAAAGGGATAGTGGCAGAACAAGGGAGTTCAATGACCTCTTTCCAGGAGGCCTGTCTCCAGGCTCAGGAGGGTGAAGGAGGAGTGTACATGGAGGGCCTCAGGCACAGGCCACAGGCAGCCTCTGACCCCCAAGGGGCAGCCTCGAGCAGCCAAGCCCAGCCTGTTGAGGGGGCCCTGCCTGGAACCCCGGGGCTGTCTGATGCCCAGCCTGGCAGGAGAAGCACTGCCTGCAGTAAACCCCAGGTCACGGAAGAGCCGAGAGCCCCTTGGCCTACAGGCGGCCCGGACTTCCCACCAGGAAAAGGAGCCGGAGGAAACTGATACGGCTGCGCTGTGGGCCTGGCCTGGCACAGACCTCGGCGGGCCAGGGGTTTGAATTACACCCAGGGGAGGGGCTGGGGCAGTGGTCACGCTATCCTCGGGACTCTCCAGGTCACTGGCAGCGGCTCTCGGCCCAAGGCCAGCTCAGGGGAAAACCTGGGACAGAAGGTCCAGCCACAGAGTAGAGTGAAGGCTGCGCCCTGGCAGTCAGCACCCAACAGGTGGCATCCTCTGACCCATCCTCCACCGGTCCCTCCTCCCACATGGTAACAAGTGTCCCCCTGCCCAGGCCCAGTTCCTACTCAAGCCCATCTCTCCATGGCCCCCTCCTTGGTTTTTCATGGGAGCTCACCCACAGACTTGACCACGAGCCCCAAGACCTCAGGTTGGCCCCGTGGCCCTGTCCAGCCCCCAGACCCAGCACCCGTCCATATCCCCAGGGTGGGCCAGAGAGCTGGGGCAGGGGTGGAAAGTAAGAGACCCAACGTCCACCGAGGAGAGACTCCCCCCTAGTCCCACCCCTGGCCGTGACTGGCACCTGCTGGGTGACCTGAGCTCACAGGGAGGGGCTGTGCAGCTGCCCACCTCCAGACAGACGGGGAGCTATGGTCTCAAGACTTCGAGGAGGAAAGTGGGGTCCAAAGGCCCAGACTCAAAGCCAGCGAGGGCCCACTCAGGCACATTCACAGACACTCGCTGCCTAGCGCCCTGACGCCTTCTAATTATGTGCCTTCTAATTACCCCAAACCAGCACTTACTCCAGTCTGGCTGCCCAAGTCTCTGCTTACAGCAGCTCCCCCTGCCCCCACAATCAGCCTGAGCCCCCAGAGGACCTGCCCGGTCAGGCAGCCGCTGGCCTCCACCCAGAACACCCCTGCACACACGTGGACCCCTGCTGCTCTGACTCCCCTCTGCGCCTTCTCCCCACCCAGCCTCCAGCACCTATGCTCTAAGCCCTGGAACCCTGACTGAAAAGCAAGTTCAGATCAAGCCCCTTGGCTGGGGGAGGGGAGACTGAGAAGGCTCCATCCCCACCCCTCTGCCTTCCAGAAGGCAGGGCAATCAGTGACCTTCCAAAGCCCTGCGCCTCGGGGCACCTCCTGAGGGCTTCCTGGGGGAGGGCTGTCAAAGATGGGCAGTGGTGGTGGTCTTCTCCGGCCTGAGGGCTCCTGGCAGAGGAGAACCACCCTTCAAGGCCCCAGGGGCAGAGAAGGAAGTTAGCTTAGAGGCCACTCCTCCCTGAAATCTCAGCCTGGGGCCTGTTCCCACTGTCATCAGCTCCCTGGGGGACCAGAGCCCCTGCTTCACCTTGCTGGGTCTCAGTTTCCTCACCTGCAAGATGGGGATGTTTACGTCCCAGAGCAAGGCTGTCATGAGGTTTAAATGAGGTAACAAGCCTGATGTAGGTCATGTGACTTCCTCCCCATCACCCCTTCTTTCTCTCTACACCTCCCACCGAGGCTGCTTATGACCGTTTGCTTACTTGTTTATTGCTTGGCCCCGCCCCCCTCCACCAGACAGCAGCGAGGGCAGGGATGTCTGTCTCACTCACCACAAAACCCTGCCCCAGTGTCTGGAGCAGGAGGCCTCCAGAAAACAGGTTCACGGGGGTGGGGGGAGGGGCTCCTCACGCTCAGCCCGTCCCCACCCTCCAAAAAAACGCCCAAACTATTAGAACCAGAAATTCCCTGGAAGAAAGCCAACTAGCAAAGCTGAGACCAGGGCCCCAAGCGGGAGATGCCAGAGCCCCAGGGAGGCACAGCCCAGGAGTCCTCAGAGAAAGAGGAAGCTGTGTCACCACCCGGGCCTCCTCAGGCCTCAGCAGCTTCCCCTTTCCCAGAACTGAAGCTCATGGGGTCACCCGGCCCCAGCCTGGGGCCCCATCTCTGCACATTCCCTCTCCAGCCTCACCCGCCTCCGCGGTGGCCTCCTCCGAGGGTCTCCCACAGCTCCATGCTCACCCCACCCCTCGCCTGCCCCCTGGCCTCCACTTCAGCCCCCCACAGCTTAGGCGTCTCAACACCCAGATCTGACCCCTGTCCCTCCCCGCAACTCCAGCCACTGACAGCTGCTTTCTGTCCCCCACACTTGCCTCTCTCACCTGGCACTGGTACCTGCTGTTTCCTCTGCCCAGAAACCCCTCCCATCACCCTACTGACAGCTACCCTTCCTTCAGAGCTTAGCTCGAAGTCACTTCCTCCTGGAAGCCCCCAACCACCACCTCACTTGTGCAGTCCTCGCCCTGGGTGTGACCAGGCTACGCACCCACCCTTTCCCCACTGACGTGCTGCCCCCGTACCGGGTGCCCAGCACGTGAATAGGTATGTGCTGAACCAGGGGGATCAAAAAAGGCACTCAGGAGAGGGTCCACCTTCTCCCAAGGTCAAGAGGGCCAGGGAGCAGGCTGACGATTAAGAAGCCTAGAGGCTGGGCTCGGGGTGGGGGATTGAACCCGGATCTGAAGCCCTTGCCTGACTTGAGGAGAACCAGCCTTCCTTGCTCTGCTCTTCACTGGCTCGGTGGCTGTGGACCCCACCCCCATTCCCCATCCCTCAGAGGGCTGTTGTGAGGCCGAGAGAACACACATTAAATGCTCAGCACAGAGCCCAACACAGAGCAGGCCCTCAGTAAGCATTCACCGTGCCTCAGGTTCCCCACGTGTAAATCGTGGAGGGGGTTATGGCACATACTCGATGGGAGGTACGAGGTACAAACGAGATTCTCTTATATTTATGTACAATGCTTGGCGCAGAGCCTGGTACACGGGAGGTGCCCGAAGATACACACTGACAATCTGGGGGATTGGGAGGGTGTAGGAAGGGAGAGGAAAGGTTGGTGGGCAGATCCCAGGTCACACCAAGCTTAGGCTGCAAGCTGAGAAGCCTGCATTTCCCCCAGGGCCTTGAAGGGTTAGCGGGGGAGGGAGAGGTGCGGGACAACTTGCGTCTCAGAGGGCTTGCCGGGCTGCCTGCCAAGTGAGGCAGGGCTGGGGAGACGGAGGTGGGAAGCAGGTAGCCACCTGGAGCAGGGGGTGTGGGGCAGGTATTTGTTTCCCAGCCAGCCTGGGGACCTCCCTGCAGCCTCCAGGGGCTAGGGTTGCCTGGAAACACAGCTGGACACAGGCCTTTCTCAGCAGTGGCTGCACCCTAGGCAGGAAGACAAAGGCCGCCCATCAATAGAGAAATCCAGGTTAGCAAGGAAGCCAGTGGTTCCTTGGCAACTGGGGCTGAAGTAGGGCAGTGCCCACAGTGGGGGGTAGTGAGGACAGCTAGGCATTGCCTCCTTTTCATCCTCTGCCCTCACAGGGAAGGGAACAGACTCCCATCGCCTCGGGCCAGGCCCTCATCCTGGGTTGCCTCCACTCCTCACAGGAGAGGTGAGCGTCCCTGCTTCACCCTTGGGTAACTGAGGTCACCCAGCCAGGGGGAGGTAAAGCAGGGGTGGAGCCCAGGCCTACCTGACAGCTTCCCACCTCACTCTGGCCCCTCCTACCCAGGAGCCTGGCCCAGGACCTGGCGCAAAACAGATGTTCTGAGCGTTTGCCAACCTGACGGCAGAGACTAGGGAGCTGGCGGCACACAGGAGGCGGCTCACCTGAAAGACTATTACAAAGCGCGCGGGCAGGCGCCAGGGAAGGAGGTACTGCCGCCATGGGGGTCTCTGGGGCCTCTGAGGTTTCCTGCATGCAAAGTGCCCTAGTCTACCACAGCTCCAGTAGGAAAAGGCACTGGGACCTGTGAGAAGCAGGAAGCCCAGGGAAGGAGGGGGAAGAGGAAGATCCCAGGGTAGAGCCCAGCTCCCTAGGACTAATGAGGGGCTGGGAGCCCAGAGATGTGCAGAGGCTGCCTCAGGGCCACTCAGTGAGAAGGGGTCCCCCATTCCCACCCCCAGCCCAGCCTCAGGCAGCCAAGATCTCCCAGGTCACAACCCTGGGGTGAGGGCTCAGGGGTGTGAGGTGGGGCCAGGGGGCTAACTGGCCCTTGAGGCTAAGAAAAGGGCTGAGGCAGCCAGACAGGGCCCACTCAGCCCCTCCCAGTCTGGGTGCAGATGCAATCCCTGCCCCCTCCCTGGCCTAAGCCTGGGGCTGGGAGGTGTGGCAGGGGCCCAAACTAGACAGTCGTCTCTGAGGCAGAGCTGGGGGTCCCCAACACCCCTCACTAAGAACCTACTACACGCCCATTCCCTTACCAGGCCTCAAAGACAGGGCTCCAGGCTTCACAAACGAGGAAGCTGAGACTCAGAGTAATACCCTGTAACCACTTAGTCTGAAAGGAGACAAGGTTTCCCATGCCGAGTGGGGACAGGCAGCTGGCAGCCCCTGCTCTTGCCACCCCAGACCTGGCATTCCCGCTGCTCCCACATGCCCTGCTCCAGCCCAGCACCCAAGCACTCAGAACCAGAGCCTTCCTGCAGGGAGGCCGCGCCAGTTCCCAGGACAGGATGGCAAAGCGCTAGGAGGGCTGGAGGACACCCCACTGCCCACCAGCTGTCGCCACTGCTACCTTCTCCTCCGAGAAGCCACCTTTGCCTCCTGCCCCGGCCGCGAATCTGTACCGATCACTACTGTGCCAGGGTGCCCAGAGTTGCTCAGCCCCGACCAGGCTGACCTGGGGAGGCTTTGAGAGAGACTGAGGGGAGATCACAGGCCCAGCCTGCCCCGTTCTCCGACTCCTCCTCCAGACTCAAGGTGCTGGGGGAAAGAGATTCCCCTGACCCCAGCAATTCCAGGTCAGGACCTAACGAACAGAGCCTGAGGATGGAGGTCAGCCTGAGGGGAAGGCTGGACCCGGAGCAGTCACACCTGGGTTCAAGCTCTAGGTCATCACCTAGGAGCTCTGTGACCTTGGGCAAGTTACTTACCCACCCTGAGCTTCAGGGTCCTCCCCTGCAAACAGGGGTTCTGGTCCCTGTCTCCAGGGATGCTGAGGGGATAAATGGAGCCCACTGTAAGTAATACTGGTCAGGGCCTGGCCTGACCAGGCCTCTCCTGAGCACCAGTCCTCAACAGCCCACAAGGGCCAGAGGAGAAGCCAAGCTCAGAACCAAGAAGCATCCAACGAAGGTCACCCAGTGGCTCGGGAGCAGGCAAGAGTGCTTGGGGAACCCAACATCAGTCCCAACAGCATGGGTGGATGAGTCTTGGACTCGCCAGGTAGACCCTGGGTGCCCATTTCCCAGCCCTTACACAGGCCTGTGTCCACCTGCTCCCACGCCAACTGAAGCCACAGTCAGGAAGGCCAGGGGTGCTGAGCAGTCAGGACCCAGCCCTACATCCCCGAACTTGTTTCCGCCTCTGTGATTTGGGACAACTGTGCCTGTCCAGCTGACCTCTTGGCATGGCTGGAGGTTCCATGGTTCATCAGGGAACAGCGACTCTTCTTATAATCAGGCCTCAGCCCAGGTGCCACCTCCTGCAGGAAGCCTTCCCAGCCTCCCTGTCAGGGTGGACCCGCCCCTCTCCTGGCCCCTTCAGCCATCATTGTTCGAGGTCCCCTTCAGGGAGGGAGGCAAGCAAGTGCACGCAGGAGGCGGGGCACAGCTCCATCCCTGTGCTCACTGCTCCTTCTTACCGTGAGGGTGTACAGGTCCAAGTTAGGCTCCTCCTTCTGGAAGCCCTCCTTCCTTCTCCCTCCAACCACACACTCAGACCCTGCCTCTAATTGGCTGCAGAGGCCCCTCCATCCCTCTCCTGTGTCAAGTAGCCAGGGCACACGCTCATAGCCACATGGGCAGTTTATTTATAGAGCACTCATCTTTCCCAGGGTGGCCTCGGTAAAAGCTCTGGCCTTCCAGGCAAACATACCTGGGTTAGGATCCCAGTGACACTGGAGTCCTGCAAGTCCCTTTCCGTCTCTGGGCCCTCTTCTCAATGCCTGTACCTGGACGGGGCTGCTGATGACCTGGGCATGAGGCTGAGGATGAGAGCCTCATGGTCCTACCCAGGGCTGAACACACAGCAGGGATGCAGCATCGGCACCTCAGTCTTCCCTGCCACCCCAACTGGGTGCTAAGGTCTGCCAGAGGTCATGTCCCAATCCTGAGTCGGGGTTGGGCGGGGGGGGGGGGGCTGCTGGCTGATCTCAGGCAAAATGCCTCCCCCTCTGGTCCAGCCCTCCTGCCTAACCTGGCAGAAGGGCTGGCCCTATAACGGATGGAGTGGGCCTGAGCAGCCCTACCACCACTTCCTCCTCGCCCTGCAGGTAGCCAGCCTGGTCCTTCTTTGAAAACTGACACCAGAGTTGTCAGACAACCCTCGCCTCCCACCTGGCGCCTGTGGGAGATGGGGCTGGGGGCTGGGCACGAGCTTGAGTGCCAGACTCCAGCACCAGTGACTGTGTGACTCAGACTAGGACTAGACCCTTCTGCCCTCTGAGTCTGGGTTCCCCACTGAGCAGCTTTGGAAGGAAAGGGATGCCCTGCCAGTGCTGCTGCATGGAGCCCTGCACCCAGGACCTAACACACATTAGGGCCTCAGGGGGGAGCGTCCTCTGCTGGCCCAGAATGAGAGCCTTGCCTGAGGAGTCCAGGGCAAGCACCAAACTGGCCCCTACGCACAGGAGTGGCCTTGAGTTTTCGCCCCTAACCCCCAGCACACACCCGGGAGCACTGGAGACCCTGGGTACCAACCTCCCTGTGCATCCTAACACACAGTAGGCCCTCAGCCTACGATGGCTGCCCTTCCTCAGGAAGAGGCCTGGCCAACACAGATATGGCAGCAGGAGAGGAGAGGCTGTTGGCCAGGCCGGCCCCACCCAACTGGGCATGTGGTGCCCATGAGGACCCCACCCCTGTGCCTATTCCCAGAGGTGAGGGGGGACATGTGGCACATGGACCACACAATGAAGAAGGACTAACGTTGGGCTGGGAGGGCTTCCTGGGGGAGGCAGTGGGGCTGGGGCTGTACCCTGAATGGTCAGGAGGGTTCTAGAAAGGGGAGACAGCAAATGCAAAGGCAGAGTACAACCAAGGCATCTGGTAGGGAAGGAAGAGGGTGAAAATGTAAAGTTCAAAAGGGTCCTGGAAGGAAAGCCTCGATGCTAGGATGAGGAGTCTGGACTATATTTTGCAGGCAAACAGTACAAGTTACCTTAGGGAGGCCACTCTGGCGCCGTGTGTGAGGGAACTGGAAACGGAGGCAGAAAGGCCAATACAGGAGTTTGGGCAAGGACAGCAAGGCCCAAGCTGGAACATAAGAGACGCCCTGATTTTACAAAGGCATGTCTCAGGCCTGCTTCCAGTCCTGGGCCACGTCCAGTCTTCTGGGGGACGTGTGGCAGGACAGAAGGTAGGTTCCCTGTCTGGAGGGTGAGAGCCAGAATATCAGGGTTGTGCAGGGCCTTGGTAAGTCCCAGCACTTCTCAGAACCTCGTCTCTCCCTCTGTAAAATGAGGCTGACCCTATGAGCAGGGGAAGGGGGCTGAAAGCTTCCCCTCCTTGACCAGAAATGGGCACCTGCCTCCAGCAACTGTCACTTGAGTCCCAACTGGGGCCACACTGGAAACCCAGCCGGACCCCACCACCATCCCTGTGGTCCAGGCAGCACAAGTTCCCAAAAAGGTTTGGCTTGGGCAGGGCACAGGGTGGGGCTGGGACCAGAAGAGGAGGTTAACCCTTGGTTAACCCTTCCCCTCTCCCTCCCCTTCCAGGGCCCTGAGCTATTTCCACCTCTTTGCTGGGGATGGAAATAACTCAGGCTCAGCCCCAGGAGACCAAGACAGCTATTCTGATCAGCCCCAAGAAGCACAACTCCAGTCATTCCAGAGAGGACAGAGGGACACCCGGATCCCCAGCTCCAGCTCTTGGCAAAGCAGCAGCAGTGGGCAGAGCTAGCAGGGTCCTCAGGGAAGAATGGGGACACTGAGGCCCTGAGCGGGTAGGCACAAGCTCAAGGTCACTACTAGCCTGTCCCTCAACCCCCACAGTGTGTGGGTGGACTGGGGAAAGTGCCCCTAGAACAACTCTGAGCGGGGGCACAGGGCCTCTCAGGTATGGTGAAGGTCAAGTGGGACTCTCAATTCTCCTGCCACTCTTGGAGCCTGGGCTATGCTGCTGACTCCCAACATTCTTCAGAGCCACATGGATGCTCCCCAAACCAGTTACAGGCTCTAGAAGGCAGGAGACAGGACTTTCTGGTGACCTCTGGCTAGGAGGTGAGAGTTAGGGGGAGGGAGGAGGAACAGGAAGACCATGAAACCCAGCCACCCTTAATGTTCTAGACACGTGTACACCACACTCAGAACTCACAGTGGCACACCCTGCCGAGGCCACGTTGCCAGCCTGCGTTTGAGAGAAGGAAGCCCAGATAAGCCATGAGCAGATATTAGGAAGGGGAGTGGCCCTCTCCAAGCATCTTACAGGGCTTCAGGCACAGGAGACCTGAATTCCAGTCCTGGCACTGAGCTGACTCTGTGTGACCTTGGGCAAGTCACTTCGCTTCTCTGAGGTTCTGTTTCCTTCTCTGAAAAACAGTCATCACATCTCAGAGCCACTGTGAGGATTCAACAAGAGCACACCATAAAGCATTCAGCATAGCACCTGGCACTGTCTCCCCAAACTCTCTCCCCGACCCAGAATGCAATCAACATTTTCAGAGGATGACAGCAGAGGAGAGAACGTGCAGATCCTTCAGCAGGTGTCTCCTCACCTCTCCTGGGCTAGGGAGCCTGATTTCCATTCCACTTTGCACGAACCCAACAGACCCTCTTGTGTGGGTGGGGGCCTCAGGAGGGTCTAGCCCAGATGGTGAAGAGGCCCTGCTCCAGCTCTCCAAAGCAGAGACGACTCATGCCCCCCAGGAACATGCCCCCTCTCCCCCCAAGAAGGGAACTGAAGAAAGGAGATGGGCACCAGAGAAGTCAATGTCTATGGGTCAGAATTTTCGGCGTGATCTGAGGAGCTGTGCTTCCAACCCTGTCACCAGCACCTGGGTGCAGCCCTGGGCCACTCTGTCCCCAGCAGACAGCCTGCTCCCACCCCCTACTGCAGTCTTTCTGCCTGAAGGGTGGTAGGGGAGAACAGAGACAGTTGACAGTTGACCCCAAAACAATAGAGAATACCAAAGTGATGATTCACAGTCCATTCACAGCCCAACACCTCAGTGTGCAGACAGGGAAACTGAGGCCCAGCGAGGGTGAGCGGGATCTGAGGGCAAGATTATGCCTGGGCCCAGTGAGAATACAGGTTACCAGGGGCAGAGCTTAGCCAGGCCTCTTGGACCTCTCGCGCGTGTGTGTGTGTGTGTGTGTGTGTGTGCGCGTGCGTGCGTGCGTGTGTGTGTGTGTGTGTGTGTGTGACAGAGAGAGAGAGACGGCGCCTGAAGCTACCTCAGAGGCCCTCAGCTGCTGCCAGACCTATCACCCCACCAGATGCCCCTCAGCCTTGGCCCCTCTCCCTCTGCCAGGGCAAGTCACTCAGGGTCCACCCCCCTCCCTAAACTGAGCTCCTGAGGGATGCCCTCTTGGGGACAGTCCTGGAGAGACCCTTGTCCCCTCCCTGGCCCCTCTCCCTCCAGCCCCCATCTGCTAGTAGGTGTTTGAGGTCCCTCCTCTTTCCGCCTTTTACTCATTTCCCTGAGGTGCAGACGCGGACACAGGCGGACACACACACATACACACACACACACACACACACACACACACACACACACTGCACTACTTGACCCCACAGCACACTATTACCATGTTCACTCACGTTCATGAGGGCCCTGGTGTCCTGGTCACACCCCAGGCCACACACACACTCAGTGACCCCAGTAACCCGGGGTCGCACTCACAGTGGGCTGGGGTCACGGTCACGCGTAGTGACCCGGGGTGGCTCTCTCACACAGTCACACGCCCACACTCTGCCTGTCACAAACACACAGAGCCCCTCGGTGTCTCCCCCTCGGCCCAACGTCACTGCCCAGTGTCCGAGCCACACGTTCGCCCTGGCTGGGCCGCCTCACGCGCCGTGTCACCCACAGTCACGGGCTGACACCGTTCAGAACCCCCCCTCCGGCCGCCCCGCGCCGCAGCCACACTGAGAAGCCGCCGTCCCGCCCCGCACCCCGTCCTGGTCTCAGTCCAAGTATCCCAGGCCGGCGCGTCTCCGAGGCCCGCCGGCTCCTCAAACTGCAAGTTCCGCCGCCGCCTCCCCATCACGCACGGTCGGGCCAGGAGCCGCGGCCGGAGGACACACAGCTCCCCCGGCAGGGAGCTCAGAGACGGGCGGGGGTCCGTGCGCGGAAGGCGCCGGAACAGGACGCGGGGGCGGGGGCGGGGGGCCGCGGGGCCTGGGCTGCGGCATCCGCCGCGCCGGCGAACTTCCTCAGAGACGCTGGGAGGCAGGGGGCACCGCTCGGGCCCGCATCCCTCTGGCCCCGGCCTCCGGGCTGGGGCTCCGCGCGTCCTCCTTACCTGGCCGCCCCGCAGCAGCTCCAGCAGCCCAGCTCGCAGGCCGACGCGGTGCCCGAGCCCGGCTCGGCGTGCGCACGGGCAGCCACGCAGCCTGCGCGCCTTTTGAATGAATCGCCGCCCGGTCCGGGAAGGCGCGCAGCCCCGCCCCCGCGCGTCACGGCCGCCGGCCCCGCCTCCGACGTCATAGCCCAGGTTCGCGACCCCCGCCCCCCGCCCCTGGAGACCGCCATGGGGCTCGCGCTCTGCAGCCCGGCCGTGCTGTTCTGTGTCGCCATCTCTCGCGCTCCCCGGGAACTGCAGGGGGCTGCGCCGGACAAGGCCTCTCGGATCAGCCGCTTCTGGGCTCCAAACCAATAAAGAAGGGGTTGCAAGATGCAAGATAGACTGGAGACTTGGATGCTTCTCTGAGACCTGTCACCACTGCCAGTGCAAACGGGGCCGCCGCTGTCCCTCCCTGGGTCTCGTTTTCCTCCTGGAAATTGGCAGTCAGGGACAAGGACCTCACTTTGCCTTGTTGAAGAGGCCCAGGTCCACCCCCAGAAACCCCACCTAGTTGTTGAGAAAGGCCTGGTGAAAGTGAATCTATAATGGAGGCCCACTTGGTGGTCTCCTGCCCATTCTTCAGGGCCCAGCCCAAACCTCCTTCCTCCAGGAGGCCTTTCCTGTCTCCATTCCCCGCCCCTTCCCTCTCTGCAAGGATAGTTAGTCCCTCCTTCCAGCAGGACAGATGATACACTGCTGTCCCTTCCCTACCACCAGCTGTCCCACCCTGCTGATTCCCAATGCCAGCCATCAGGGTGCCCAGCAGGGTGTGACTAAGGACCCCAGGGCACTATTCATATTGTATTACCAGCTCTGTGAATCGTGCCCCTTGGAGTTGTGCCATATGGTGGGCCAGAACTGGAGGCAGCAGCTCAAGAGCCAGGGTTTCCCCGACTTAGTACCATTCAGGGGATCCCAGGTGGCCCTCCCAGGACAGCAGGGCTGGGAGAAGATGCAGACAGTAGGAAGGGCCTTGTGCTGGGGAGGCAGAGGCCTGGCTGGGATCAAGATAATCACAGCTCATGGCAGAGGTGGAAGAAGGTAAATAAGTTGTTAGGGATACATTGTGAGGGGAGGTGGAGAATTCTAAATAAACTGTCATAGCATCTGAGCCATGGGGTGAGGGGGTGGGAAAGGTAAGGTCTCCAGGGTCCAGGAGATCCCAGGAGGAGAACTGGACACCTGCAGAGGGAGGGGGAAAGGGGAAGAGTTTCCATTTCCTTGGGCCAGGCCCAGGTTGTGAGGGAAGGGCAGAAAGAGCTCCAGGTCACTGATGTTGGGATCATAGCACCAGCCAGGCCTCTTGTATGTCAACGGACACCCCCAGAGCTAGGTCAGGGGTGATCCCACATCCGAGCCCACAGAAGGAGTCCGGAGAAGATCCATGCTGGGGACCTGCTGAGGGGGCTAGAGCAGCCCAGGACGCTCTCTATCCCTGCAAATGTTTTCTTTGTAAGGGGACCTTCTATGCCCCAGTTCCAAGTACTGCAGTTCAAATGGTGGCATTTCACACGCACCCAGTAGGCCAAATGGGGATATGCTTTTTGGTCAAGGAGCACTGGCTATTAATCAGACATCCTATAGAGGGTCCAGGCCTGTCTCTACTACCAGCTCTCAAATCCTTCCCCAACTCAGTTTCCCCATCTGAAAATTAGGCTGCCAAACTCATTGCCTGGAGGTCATTCCAGTTCTCTGTGAGAGGAGGCGATCTGCCTGACGTGGCTGAGTGGGAAGGGTGAGCAGCCACCAGAGACAGAAGAAATGACCAGGGATGGAGGGGCCGAGGCAGTCCCTCCTGTCCTCTGAACCACAGCAAGCTGCAGCTGGGACCCTGCCCAAGAGTCTGGGAACATTTAGCCGCTACAGTGAGGAGACAGGGAAGGAGTTGTGGAGGCCGCGAGAGAGATTTAGATCGGCTTTTTATGGAGGTTGGAGAACCACAGGCTCGAGAACAAAGGACTCTCAGAATCACAGGCTTTTAAAACTCCTGGCATCTCAGATGGATCCACGGAATCTTAGCATTACAAGCCCTGAGCCCAAGGACCTCAGAGACGATCTTGTTGAACCTCTAATAGTGCAGCCAGAAAAGTGAGCCCAGAGAAGGCCCACACCTCATCCTAGGTGGCACAGCACAATAAGCTGGGATGAGCTGTGGTGATCCAGAGGCAGGGACATGGACTCCATGTCCCACTGAGACACTCCCCGAGGTGGGGTGGGGATCCTGGGCCACAGGATTAGAGGAAGGGGGGTGTTTGCAGGGGATCTGAGCAGATGGCAGCCCCTGGGGTTATGGACCAGAAATGGTGGTACCCTCTGCTGGCTACCCTTAAATTCCAACGTGGACGTCCAAAGCAAGAGGAAATGTCCCAGCTCAGATTTAAATTTCAAAACTCTGCACTTGGCTAACCCCCCAACTGGCCAAGTTCTACCTCAGAAGGTGGGCTGTCCTCCTGTGTTTGTGCCTTAGCTCCAGGGGGAGGGTGGGCTTGGTTTAAGGAAAAACTGGGTTGGGAGGCCAGGGTGGGGCTCAGCTTGGGGTAGGAGCTGAGCTGGGGCTGCTAGGCCTGAGAGCTGGGTTCTGTCCACCATTTAGGTCCAGACCCTGGCTTGGGTTTGGAGTCCCACTGGGGTTGGGCTTTGGTGTCACACAGTTAGGGGTCAAGTCCTAGTTCTGCCATTGTCAGGTTGTATGGCCTTAAACTAGTGACCTCACCTCTCTGAATGCAAGCTCACCTGCCCAGGGTGTTGTGAGGATCTGCTGAGACTCCATTTGGGGGATACCAGCTTATTCTAGGCTGCTGGGCTCAGAACCCCCATCTGCTCCCTCTGGTCCCCCACCCTCAGTGTTTGCCCTGTGTCTCTCCACAGCCCAGCATCTGGGCTCTGCCCCCATTTCTCCCTGAGGCCTGCACATTGCCCCCTCCCCATTCAGACCTGCATCCTGCCCCTGACCCAGCCCCTTCACTTGCCTTTGCCAGGCAGGGCTCCTCACTGGCCATAATGGGCCCAAAATAGCACTTCCCCTTGCCGCTTCCTGCAACCTGGCCTGTGGCTTAAGGTCTGTGAGGACAGAAGAGAGACTTGGCGTTTGGCAGGCATGCAAAAGATGTGAAGAGCTCTCAGAGGTCACCTGAGTAAACTTTCTTCCTTTTCTGACCACAGGAAATCTTCCTGCCTGGTTCTCCTGTACACCCACCCCAGCCTCAATGCTGCCTTGCTGTGTGATGTTAGGTAAGTCTCTATCCCTTTCTGTGCCTCATCTTCCTTGGGAGGTAGATGTCTACCTAAACCCTGCTGCTTGTCCCTAGCCCAAGGAAACACCTGGAGAACCCCCTTGGAGAGATGGCTTTTGGCCCTGACTCTCTCTTCTGAAGTCAGGACATCCTTCCCAGGGCTGGTCTGAGGAACATGTGCCAGATACCTCAAGAGTGACTGGATGTGTCTCTAGCTGCTCAGACTCTGTGTCCTGTCCTCCAGCCACCCCATGTGGCTGCCCTTCCTCTCTTCCATGAGGCACAGAGACCTGAGCAGACAGATCACGTGTGAATCCAGGCTCTACTGCTTAGTAGGCAGGTGACCTTGAGGAAGACTTTTAACCTCTCTGTACCTCAGTTTCCTCACCTGAAAAAGATGATAATAATGGTATCAACCTCCCAGGACCACTGAGGATTAAACCGGATGATCCATGCTCCTGGCTTGCAGCAAACAATAAATGGGAGCTGGGGCTATTGTTTTGTGACATTCAAGACCTAGAAGGGGATCCCAGCTGAATTCTCTAGATTTAATTAAACAGATACTTATTGAGCACCTGCTGTGTATCAGGCACTGCAGGTGGCCTGGGGATGGAGCAATGAACAAAACGTCCCTCCCCCCTCCTGGAGCCCACATTCTGGCTTCCCTGCCTTTTCCTCTTTCCCCTCTGCTCCAGCTGGGCCTACACCTCGGACCCCTCGCTCCAGGCTCCCCCACCCCTCCTTGCCTTGATTCAAGCTGTTCCTTCCCTCTCACATCAAACCCAGCGGGATCTTAGTTCCCCATCAGGGACTGAACCCGGGCCCGCAGCTGTGAAAGCGCAGAGCCCTAACCACTGGACCGCTGGCAAAGTCCCTGGCCGTGTCCTTTAATAAGCAGTGGTTCTCCACCTCACTAGCAAAACTAAACCATGGTGTCAGAAGCCAGGGTGGTTGTTACCCTAGAAGGGGAGACTGGGAGGGGGCATGTGGGGAGCTTTTGCATGGTGGAACGTTCTCTTTTTTGGCCGCACCACGCGGCATGTGGGATTTTAGTTCCCTGACCAGGGGTTGCAGAGGCTACCCCTCCTGCAATGGAAGCGCGGAGTCTTAACTGCTCGACTGCCAGGGAAGTCCCAGAAGGTTCTATTTCTTGATCTGGGTGCATTTATGAAAACTTACCTAGCTGCCCACTAATGACTTGAGTACCTTTCTGTACAGATGTTATACTTCAACTGTTTTCCTGAAAATATTACTGACACCTGGGTCCTACTCTCAGCATTCTCATTTAATTGGTCTGGAATGTGGCCTGGCCCCCTCAGGTGATTAGA